AATTAAAATTAAAATTAAAATTAAAATTTTATTTATATTATTGATAATTAATATTTATTAATATCAATAATGTTTAAAATGTTATTAATATTTATTTATAGTTATTAGTAATAAAGAATAATTAAGTCAAAGACCTTCCAGCCTAGTGGTAAAGGCTTGGGCATGGCATAGTCATGAACCCGAGTTCGAGCCTGAGAGAGGAGTGTTGGCGACATTTAAGTGGGGCCATATTTAGCCTCCAAATTTGCCAGGGATTAGTCGGGCTTTGGCCCGGACACCCTTACAAAAAAAAAAAAAATTAATATTAATGATGGTTATAATTTACAAAAATAACAATAAACTATCAAAATATTATTACAAATAACGTTTCAATAAACTAATTTATGTATCTAAAAAATAAGATGACTTATTTTCACAGAACAATTCCTTAATAAATTACTTAACATCACGCAATACAGAAATTTGAAAATTGAATTTATTTGATGAACTAAAATAAAAATATGAATATTTTTATTTACAACGAAACGAATACATATGGGCCGGGCTTTCATGGGCTTATCGTCGATCATGGTCACTGCAGATTGAATCGGGAATTGCACGATCCGGTGCACCGCAACACCAGTTGAAGGTCTTTTTGAGCTTCGCGAATTCCTACTACGCTAACAGTTCACATACACTCAGGACAATAATGGAGGAAGCTCAGAATGACAACAAGGATAATAATGGAAGTTTGGTTACAGTTGTTGACGAGACCGATGCGCAAGAAGAGCCAATGGTGGGACCGGGACCCGCCCCGGTCCGTCGCCCAAAGCGTCCGCTTCAGTTTGAACAGGCCTATCTCGATTCTCTTCCATCTGCTAACATGTATGATTAGGGTTTAGGGTTTTTGATACTTTGTGATTTTGAATAATTTAACTTGGCTTGTGCTGTTTGTTTTAGGGATTTGGTTTTTACAGCTGAATGATTTTATTCTATCAAACGCTATAATTTGTTCCTGGACCGAGATTAGCTCGTTTTGGTGGTTGGAACAGTACAATAGTTTACTCCCTTCAATACCCCGAAAACAGAGATACACCAAATTTTGGATTTAAACAAACCCCTTTTTACACTTATGTGAATTCTAAGGCTTGAAGGAAAACTTCATGTAATGTACATTTAAAAGATATTACCAATAAAATTCATTGGCGTTAGACTTACCACATAATCCATATGAATTTTGCATTTGAAAATTATCAGGCTGGACATAAAAGAGATCATAATGAACAAATATTGGAATGGGGGAGTACTCTTTTCTTAATTTTTTATGTCATTGCAGTTTAAATGTAGATTTTTTGAAATTTGGTCGTAAAGCAGTGTTTTTTCATCCCTGCAGAACTATCTGTGATAATCGAGTAACATTTAGATTTTATGCATTGTGGTTTCTATGACCTAACTTATGTTTCTGTATGAGTAACTTGCTAAAAACGTCTATTACTTGTATTGGTTCTCGAACTGGAGTTAGGGCATGAGCAGATCGAGGAAGTTCCTCATGTGGGGACACTCGTGCTCCAGAACTTTAACTAGTTTTTAATAAGAAAATACATGATCAACCCGAGTTTTGAATTGAAATGATTATGTTTAAAAAGTTGCATTCAGAGTTTACAAAAAAGTGAGCAATTAGAAGAGATTCAAAAAGTCGTTTAGCACATAGCCAAATTTTCAAAATTAACCTTCAAATAATTCTCTTTAATCAGACTACATTTGCATACACATGCTTTTAAAGATGCACATTTGAGACGCACCACACCTTTTATCCACGTAGAATCATTGTTATAGAAGTAGAAAATACGAGGCTGTTAATATAAACTGTGGCTTTGTTATGGAACTTCCAACTCTGACTGATGCTCTTTAGTTTTCGGTATTTCTTATGATTGAGTGGGTGCTTCATATACAACTAACTCCAAATCTTAGATGCTCAGTAACATTTTCTCCTTGCAGGTACGAGAAAAGTTACATGCATAGAGATGTAGTAACTCATGTTGCTGTTTCAGCAGCTGATTTTTTCATCACAGGGAGTCAAGATGGTAATATTACCTCTATATGTGAACATTTACGTTAGTTTGTTATCTCACCAAGTAATCCATCCTTGGGATTTTTGTCTTCATATTTTTTTCTCTGCAGTCTGCATTAGACACATGCAAATGTGTTGTTTGTGTGTTCCACAACTATGCCTTACCTTTGACTTTCTATTCAATCACAGTTCTCGATTTTCTTGATCTCTTTCAGGACACTTGAAATTTTGGAAGAAAAAAGGTGTTGGCATTGAGTTTGCTAAGCATTTCAGATCCCACCTTGGGCCTATTGAAGGGCTGGCGGTGAGTTGTGCATATATTCTTTATACTGGAACTAGTGTCCACACTCTACTTGAATAATTTCTAGAACATTTATATTTGTTTGATAATACTACTAATGGACATTATTTGTTAACAGTAGTTGTCACATTCATATGAATATTGTTAACAGTAGTGTGGAAGTTCTTAGGAAATATGAAGTGAAATTAGGAATGGTTAAAACAAAAGATGCAATCTTTATGTTTATATCCAGTTTTATAAATATGTTCACAATGGACCTGCAGGTGAGCGTAGATGGTTTGCTTTGCTGTACGATTTCAAGTGATCGGTCTGTCAAAATATATGACGTGCATAACTATGACATGATGGTCATGTTACGCCTTCCATATACACCTGGTGCTGTTCAATGGGTTTACAAACAAGGGGCTGTCAAAGCCAAGCTTGCTATTAGTGACCGTAACTCCCCATTTGTGCACGTATATGATGCACGAGCTGGAACAAATGAACCCATCATTTCTAGAGAAGTAAGTTGACTTCCACCTGCATGCATCAGTGCTTGGTTGGTTTCCTTGAATTGTAGTCGTTATTTAGTACTGAACTAACATAAAATCGGATTGTTTTTCTTTTTTCAGATACATATGAACCCTGTTAAAGTAATGAGGTACAACCATGCTTGTGATACTGTAGTAACCGCAGATACCATGGGAATCATTGAATATTGGGATCCTACTACACTTCAATTCCCTGAAAGCGGGTATGTTCTGAAGTTCTACAACCTTTATCAATCATGATTTCATTTTGCATAGTGTTTGCCTGGAGACAAGTTTATGAGGCAAAGAGTGACTCTAGTTAAAGTAATAGAGGAATTTTAACCACTCTACTCCCCCAGGGCTCTAGGCGGGGCGGGCGACCCCACTTCTTGGTGGCATATACTGGGTTCGTTTTGGTTTTGGTTTTGGTTTTGGTTGGATATAAAACCTAAAACTTGTCTATATTGGGCTGTCTCTCTGTATTGGGCTAGCCCAGTTTTGTTTTTAGATTGCTTGAAATAAGGCCCATGCCAAGAGTCAGTCGTACGAGTTCCAGATTACTCGGTCTTGAACGCAGAATTAGGATTGTTTTGATTTTTCCGTTTTTCCCGTCTTTCCGTTGTGTGTACTGGCTATATAATGCCTTTCAGCTCTTGAATAAAATTATCAGAAATTTGGTGAGTTGAATCAATTTTGTTATCACTTGTATTTTACAGTCTAGGTGTATTCTCCAGTTTAAGGGAATAGCTAGCCATAAAAAAGGAACTTATAACCATAGAGAAAATCACAAAATGTGCTTTAGAAATATGATCCCACGAAATCAGAGATTATTCTGTCCTAACTCTTAAAGAATAGGAATCTTAACTTCTGCTAACACTAGTTTTGTCAAGCATGTGGGGATTATAGTCTGTTTTGTTCTCAGGTTTCCATCTTCTGTGCCTTGGCTACTTATATTAACGGGTTTTTTTGGCTTTTACAGGGTTAATTTTAAACTGAAAAGTGATACTGATCTATTTGCAATTGTCAAAAGTAAAACTGCTGTTTCTGCTATTGAGGTAATGAATTGATTTGCCATACTGTTTTGTTGAGCAGTAATAGCAATCATAAATATTTTGTGAAATCTAGGATACTTGATGCTTCTGCCATTGAATTGGTTATGTGGGCAGTTTTATTGCACAAACAATGCAATTTATTGTCTTTTTAAGATCTAAAGTTGATCAAAATTGCTATTAATATTTAAATGTCAGTGGTAAGTTCAAAGAAATGATAATGTTAAATATTGGTAGCAATTTTATTTGTCTTCCATCTCAATGCTTTCTTACACCTATAATTGTTTTTGTTCTTACCTTTAGGTAAGTGCAGATGGTAAGCAATTTGCAATCACGTCACCTGATCGTAGAATACGAATATTTTGGTACAGGACAGGTAAACTAAGACGTGTCTATGACGAATCACTGGAGGTAATTTTACTCTTTGCAGTCAGGTTGGCATTGGTTTATTTTGCCAAGTATCTATGGGATAACCAAACTCTGGTTTGTTTAGAATGCTCAAGATCTTCAGAGGAGTGATGTTCCCTTGTATCGACTAGAAGCAATCGATTTTGGGAGAAGAATGGCAGTTGAAAGGGAAATTGAAAAAACAGAAAATGTACCGCAGCCAAATGCACTGTTTGATGAAAGCTCCAACTTCATTATTTATCCAACGCTCCTTGGTATTAAAGTAAGATATTAACCGCTTTGTTTTCTCGAGTTAAATAAACTTTAAGATGTTATTTAATTTGGTTTTGCTTTGAAAACTCTTGGACTAAGTCAATTTTTTGGTGGTAGATTGTAAATCTGCACACAAACAAAGTTGCCAGAATTCTAGGGAAGGTGGAAAATAACGATCGGTTTTTAAGAATTGCCTTGTACCAAGGTGATCAGAGCAGCAAAAAAGTTCGGAAAATTCCTGCTGCTGCTGCAAATGTCAACGAAAGCAAAGAACCCCTGACAGATCCTACTTTGTTATGCTGTGCTTTCAAAAAGCACAGAATCTATTTGTTCAGGTATAACAGTTGGTTACTTTTTCTACAAGTTTAACATATTAAAAGTCAAGGATAAGCTGCCACATTTATCAAGAAAAGATGTCATTCAACTACATGAAGAGATTTACATAATGAAACTCTTGCTTGAAACTCTGCTGTCTATATTTTATTTTGATACCGAACTTATAACAAGCCATTTTGCCTGCCACTTCTTCAGATCATTTCTTTCTTTATTATCGGATTTAAACTCATTTCGTATGATATCTTGTAAGATGTGCTTACATATGTTTGTTCCTATAGTCGGAGAGAACCAGAGGAACCTGAGGATGCAACCAAGGGACGGGATGTTTTTAATGAAAAGCCTCCTCCAGATGAACTTATGGCTGCATCAGATATAGGAAAGTCTGTTACAACATCCCTTCCAGAAAACGTGGTAAGTAATCTTATTGTATTCATATTGCATGTCTTCTTTCATTCCTATACCTGGCTTTGCGGTATTGTCCATCTTAGAGAGATTTAATTTTGCTCTATTCCAGCTTTGCTTTTTAAGCACATAGGTTATCTTGTTAATCTTTATTCTTGATGATATTTCTTGTACCAGATTATGCACACAACACTTGGCGATATCCACATGAAGCTGTACCCAGAAGAATGTCCAAAAACTGTGGAGAACTTTACCACACACTGTAAAAATGGCTACTATGATAATCTGATATTTCATCGGGTTATTAAAGGTTTTATGATACAGACTGGAGACCCCTTGGGAGATGGAACCGGTGGGCAATCTATTTGGGGAAGGGAGTTTGAAGATGAATTTCACAAAAGGTAACACTTGAAACAGCTTCTTATCCCCATTAGAACCAGATGTCATTTCGCCTACATGGTTCTACCAGAGGCAGCAATCAAAATAATTTTCCCTCCTAAAATGGTTGAAACTTAGAATATAAAGGACAATAACGATGATAGGAGATGTACATTACTTGCCCAAAACAGGAAAGTATTAAAATATATGACTGCCAGGTGTGGTATAGCTATATAACTAAGGGTCTGTCTGTTACCAGCCTAATGAGCTTAATGGGACTTGCAACTTATTTCATCACTTTACATGACTGTTTGGTAGTGGCTGAATAATATAGAAAGTGTCTTATTCAGTAAGCTTATAGGGAGAGCTTTATGCAGAAAACCATGTTTTTTGCAAATCTGCCTTCCCAATTAAAAAACACGCTGCATCCATGGGAAACCAACTAAACATCCCCTAAGCTACAGTAAAGTCTTTATGTGAATGGAAAAATACTTGTTTTAGCCCAAAACAAATTGATACCCTAGGAAAGTAGGATCATTAGTTTCTGAATTCAGTGTTTTCAGCAATGTCAGGTCCTCTTGTTTACTATTGGCCAGCTCAGTGGGTAAATGATGCTAGATAACTCTTATCCAATTCTATGTTTTTGGCTTATATGCTTAATGGTTTGAGCTTGGATTATGGAACATTCTTGGCATAGGTTGGGTTATTTATGTTAGGCCTCCAAGAGTAACTTCTAAGATCAGCTTTCTCTTTCCATTCTGTCGGATGTAGCATCTTGTTTGCATTGCATAACAATTTATTGGTCGTTCTGCAGTTTAAGACACGACAGACCTTTCACTTTGTCAATGGCAAATGCGGGCCCAAACACCAATGGGTCTCAGTTCTTTATCACGACTGTGGCTACACCATGGCTGGACAATAAGCATACTGTTTTCGGCAGAGTTATAAAGGGCATGGATGTCGTTCAGGTATGTGCCAACTTTCCCCAACTGTATTTGCCCTTTAAATGTTAAATCTTGAAGCTCTTGAATATTTGGTATTGAGTTCTGCACAACTTCTTCTCTGAAAATAAACTTGTGTTTCCAGGCAATCGAGAAGGTGAAGACAGACAAGGGAGATAAACCATACCAAGATGTAAAAATCTTAAATGTGACGGTTCCAAAGTCATGAGTAAAGGCTGTATGTTGTAGCTGATGATCTGTATAATGTGCTGCTGGCATTTGACCAAATTCAAAGATTCCAAGTCAGGTACATGTTTACTTAACTACACTCTCTGTTTTGTTAATTGAGGTGTTATGTTCTCATATATAAGAGAATATGATTCCAAATACTGCTCATCAACTAATACCTACAGAAAGCTTGTACTCGGATGTTTGAAATAAATTCTTCTTTCTTGTTTTTCCTTAGATGGAACAAATTGCATAATAGAAACTGGAATGCCATTTTAAGAATTTGGAGGATTACATGATTTTGCAGAAGAATCTGTCGTTGACTACTAACAAACAACCATACAAAATGATTGCACTGGCTATCATAAAAACATTTCTTGCTTTCCAAATTAAGTTTTGATATTAATTTTTCTTTCTTGGGCTTATGTATTTCCTCTTTTAAGGATGCTCAAGAATTTCAGCATGAACATGGTGGAGCAGAGTGATCTTGTGACTTGAGCAGAGAGAAGAGCTCCAGACTATTTGACAATGGTTTTGTAATTTATGGCCAAGAAAGAGATATCCCTTGGCCTTAATTAACAGACTTACGGCTAACAGTTTAAAATTTGTTCTAAAAGAAACAAGTAGTTTATATAGCTCATATCTGTGTTGGTTTTGCTTTATTTTCTCCTGTTTGGGGAAGTAGAATGAGAATTTTCCTCTCTTCAGAAACTGGTTTTTATGTTCAGTTTGTAGATGAAGAAATCAACCATTAACGAATAACTAAGTTTTCTACATTAAAAGTCTGTTTTGCACCAATTAACTCATTAGAGTTTGGTGGTTCTTTTCTGGAGATCTTTCATGCTGGTTTTCTTTCTAATCATTCCATGGATGCTTTTCATCATTTTCTGCAGATAACTAGTGTTTAGGTCGATACAGTTTGAAGGATTTCTCAAATGGTAGTTTGTATGCATATCGTCTGAGATTCAAATTCGTATAGGTTCTCGGCAATATGATTCCAATTGAAATAAACAACTTAAAGATTGGTTTCAGCTACTAGTTTCTTTAGTTATGTTATGTGCCGGTGGGTGTTGGTTCCTTTGGTGGTGACTGGTGACGTTGGCATTGATGGTCTCGATTTTATTGTTCTTTCATTTGGAAAAGCTTCAACTCAACATTTTGATGCTTATATTTCTTGTACAAACTTTTATGTTATAAATCATTATCAACCCTCCTTTTCTCAATCTTTTCCTACAACCCCAATTGACGCATTGAATTAAATTTGAAAATATCAAAAACCCAGTTCTCATTTATTTTTTTTGTCTGGATTTCCCAATTATGCCACAGGAAAAAAACCCCAATTATGCGTTTTGATGGTTGCTCAGAAGATTAAATAATTAGCCTCAAATCTTTGGCATTCATTAACTGGTAAAAAGGATGGACCATATCATGTAGATATAAAACATATGCTGCTAGAAGATAAACTGGATGGATCAAATCTGAGAGAAAAGCCATTGCTGCAGTCAGATTTTAAATTCTCTACTCGCTCCTAACATTTCATCTCATATAAATGATACGATAAGACCAAATGCATGGACCAAACAATTACAGCTTCAAAACAACAAAACCATATTCATGGAAAAATCCATGTTACGAACAAACTGAAGCAAACAGAAAACAATAAGTAAATGTATCGAATCAAAACCACTTTGATTAAAAATCTCAGATCTTCAACTAAACCTTACATCCAAGACTATGCATGGTCTCACAAAATTCAACACAGTAAAACTAAAAACAATACCAAAAATCCATAACAAAAGATGAAACCTTAGTATGATGCTTCAAGAGAAGAGACAGTTTGATCATAACCCTTTTTAGTCAAATAAACTGAAACCCATATCCTGCAAAAAGTAATATATATAATGAAACATGTCAGAAAAAATACAAGTCACAGATATATAAACAAAGTATATTCGATACCAGAACATTGAACTACAAAGTAGTGTATAAAAGAGCTTACATCGTCAGACTCTTCCTTCTCTTCGACCTTCTCCTCTTTCTTTGTCTCAGCAGCAGCTGCTGCAGCAGGTGCAGCACCACCACCACCAGCTGCCGCAGCAACTGCAACACCACCACCACCAGAAGGAACTGATGCCAACTTTTCCCTTCCTGCCGCAATCAATTCGGTAATATCTTTACCCTTGACCTCAGACAAGAGCAATTCAATTCTATCTTCATCAGCATCGGCTCCGACTGTACATCATCAGTTTCTAACAGTTAAATTTGGATGTCTACCATTTCTCACAAATCAAGCATCAACAGTTTTAACTGAATCAGGACTATAACATCTAGCAGTAATGTACTTCAGCAACATGTATGAGCAGAAAAAGTTATACATTGACGTAAATCAACAACAATTAATAAAAAAATTAAATAATTATCATAGGCAACAAATATACCTATGTTGGAAAAATCCCACATTGTTGGCAACAATAACAGAAAGCATAGCATCATGACTTGCATAGCATAGCAAAACAGTACTTTGCTCTAATTGTTCCAAATCATCCACAAGCACCGGCTCAAAACTTTTAAGTTATAAAGCTCAAAAGGCAGTTCCACAACAATCATAATGCAAAACCATATTCACTACGAAGTCAACTCATGAAAAATATAACTGTGATCAACAATTTGTGGGTTTCATCAAACATTCAAGTGCTTTTACTGACCAAACCAGCAAGAAAATTCACATTTATATTTTTCAACTTCATGAAAAATATAACTGTGATCAACAATTTGTGGGTTTCATCAAACACTCAAGTGCTTTACTGACCAAACCACCAAGAAAATTCACATTTTGATATCCTAATTGATGTGAAGGATATGAAATATAATAAGGCAGTACCCATTAAGAACATATTACAATGCATTGCTAGTATGTGCCAAAACAACGAAGCAAAATCATGATCATCGAATATGACTAAACCCGCAAAAAACCTCATATATGAATCCCGATTGGTGCTAAAAGCATCAAAACCCAGTCTTAATCACTCACAAAACCATGTCGTGATAGACTAATAAGTTGGTATAGATATCAGGAAAGATATCAACTTTTATACGGATACACAAATTAGAAGACAAGCAACTAGGATCATCCACAAATTTACTCGATAGTTTGTACGTAGCTCTCAAAGTTGACAGTCTGAAGGAGTTTACAAACTAAAAGGCATACCTGAACCGAGAATTTTTTTCAAATCGTCAGCAGATGGGCTGGTGTTACCTCCCAACAGAGCCAACAAATACGCAGCGACAACCTTCATTCTGGCATAAAACAAGTAACAGAGTCGATAAACAAATCGCATCTCGTCACCAAACCAGAGCCCCATACAACAACCCCCATTTCCACTCAAACACTAGCACAACCTCGTAAATTTTCGGAAAAACGACAGACAACCACGAGATTACGTATTATACCAACGGATTTCTCATCGAAAATCCTGAAATTAGGTTTTTCTAAATTTTGACATTCACGTGTTACCCTGATATTGAGCCCTAATATCGATAAACAAACGAACCCTAGTTGGGAACGCCGAGAAGAAGAAGATACCTGCAATTTGTGTTACAGCCGCTGTCTCTTTTGCTTCCTTGGTGTGGGCGTTAGGGTTCTGGAAACCCTAACTCTTCTTATAGGAATTTTAACAATGCTTCCTTCCGTTGGTTGCTTATTGGGCTTCCCTTTGAGCAGTAATAATGGGCTGGTCCATAGTTTTAGCCCATTGTATTTATTTTCTTTTTGCGAGTTTTTAATATAACGAATTTAGATAGCAATTTATTTATTGCTTTGTAAATAAACACATGTATAATTACTCGATTTATTGCTCATTCTTAGGTAGGGTGTATAAAAACCCCTCAACCTGTGAAACACGTCTAACCCAACTGAATCCAACCCGTCAATATGGTTGAAACCGGGTTAGCGTAATTCAAGTCAATCCAAACCGTCAACTCATCGCTATTGAGTTAGCATAACTCAACCAACCTGCAGTTAATGTATACTATTTCGATAAAATTATATATATGTACATACATAATATTTGCAGCCATTATAATTTACGGCCCAAAAACTATATACATATATTAGTTCAATTTACGGTCCAAATTCTAAAACCAAGTCAAAAATAAATCCAACTAGGTCATTCGCTCTGCAAGCTATACAATAGTCGATCGATACGCCTCAATTTCCCCTCTTACTAAGACTACAAAATGTTCTTACACGAGTGCATGGAAACCTAGTTCGAGTGTTGTTGTGTGATGCCAATTATCGATATACACTTTAATATATGGTTCTCTCTTGCGTAGATGTTTTTGGAAGTTGGAACCACAAATATTTAGAAGTTGCTTTATTTTTTTATATAAAGTTTGTTTTCACTGCATAAGTGAAAATATAAAGTATGTTTCAATATAAAATTCGAAGTAGAAGTATGTTTTCAAACTGGAAGTTGGAACCATATTTTTTTGTTTTCATTGCATAAATGCTCTTAAAGTTTGTTTTTATTGCATACAAAATTTTAATATGTTTCTTGTAGGTTGTAACTCTGTAATTTTTAATCTTATTTTCTATGTATAGGAGCAATGAAAAATACTTTTAAGTCCCCAAAAATCCTTAGTCAGTACAAAGCTATATGATAGCAACTCAAACAAAACATGTCTAAGAAAAGGGAGGTAGAACCTCAAACGTTTGGGTTCACTCGTTTGTAATTATTGTGGAATACTACGCATATCATAGTAGTGATGGCCAAACCGACCCGATCCGGCACGGGACCGTCGGAGGATCGGGACCGGTTGTAGGACCGCCGGTTACAGCCCGATTACTGTTTTCGTAGTTTTTTTGGGACCGGGACCGATTATGGGACATTACTAACCCGCCAAACCAACCCGACCCATTTTAAGCTGCAAGGGTTGGTTGGGTTGGTTTATACCTTTGAATGTGTTAGATTGAGTTGAGATTTTGCAAAACGTCATAATTAGGTTGCGTTGTAAATGTCAAAAAAAGGGCCAATCCAACCCGCATACACCCATATTATTTAAGTTGCTTTGCATGCAATATGCGTAATGCAACACCTTTTATGACTTAATAGTATTATCATATTATTTAATTTATGATTTATAGAAAAAACATTGATTGAATGATTTTTACCAGAGCGTTCCTAATAGATTATACAAAATGAAGATGTTGAACAAAATTTTGTTCTAACAGATTTTCAAAAAACTTTATTTAAAATGCAGAAAGTATATGTGAGAGTGTAAAATTCTTTAAATTTATAGAACTCAAAAAAATGATTATTATGAAAAAGAAAAGTATTATATTTTTATCAATAAGAAAACCTTGATATTAGACGTTTATGAGAAATAAATAATAATTTAATAATATAATTATTGTTTTAATATTTAAAATTAACAATATATTAAAAATAAATATTATTTTGTGTTGTGATTTTGATTTTGATTTTAATTGTAATTATTGATTTAAAAAATTATCAAAATGCTTTGGGTGGATTATATTTTGTTTGCCGCTGATCAGAGGGACAAAAATGTCATTTGGATACCCACCATCTACATATCAATCACGCTGACAAAAAGAGCGGGAAAACATTTGTAGCCTCCTCCCTCACCCTCACCCCCGCCCCAAATCCTACCTTCACCGAGGGTTCTTTCTCATCGTCTCGTCAATTGAGATCTCTATTCGCTCGATAGCGGATCCACTGTTACAATTATCCAACTATGAACGCCGATAATCGAAGAAGAGGAGACCGCAGAGATACAAGGATTTCCAAGAAGCAGAAGCTCATTCTCTCAGCCGAAGAAAAGCTCGAGACCAAGCTCGGTTTTGATCTCTTCACCGAAGGTGAAAAACGCCTCGGCTGGCTACTCACATTTGCTTCTGTAAGTTCACATGGCTCCCGTTTCCTTGAAATCAATTTCTGAATTAAGGATTTTTAGGATTCACTGGCTTGATTTATTTTTTCTCTAGTCATCGTGGGAGGACCAAGATACACAGAAAGTCTACAGCTGTGTCGATCTTTATTTTGTTTGCCAGGTGAATTTTATACGTAATTAGTCTTAGCATTGATTTTCACTTTTTTGGGAGTGCTATTTGACCTCTTTTTGATTTTGACTAAAGGATGGTTCGACGTTTAAAGCTAAGTACAAGTTCCGGCCTTATTTTTATGCCACTACAAAGGTATGTCTGTATTAACATGATCGTAGTAGATTATGTTGTATATATAGGTTAGTGTTCTTCTGGGGAGAAATGAATTCTTTTGGGTGGTTATCTAGCACAGAGGCTATAAATTGGACCCTGTTTACACAGTCAAGTAGCAAGCCAACCATGGGGGTTTATACATTTCTTTAATTGGTCTAAAGGTCGTGCTGTTTAAACTTATAGGATAAGATGGAAATGGATGTTGATGCATATTTAAGAAGACGATACGAAGGGCAAATTGCTGATATTCAAATAGTGGAGAAAGAGGACCTTGATCTTGTAAGTCACCATGTTATGATTCATTCGCGTTTATCTGTTGTCTTTTTTTTCATGTGCTAGTCAATGATACTTGCATACATTTTTTTTTCTGAATAACCAATCATTTCAGAGCAAGTAGCCATTTAACTGACTCCACATGTCCCTGAAACAAGTTGGTCTTACTAAACCCTCTTATGGTTCACATTGATTATCAAAAGTTAGCATTTACCCTAAAGTAGTTTTAATCAATCATGTATCTTTGTTTCTTCAGTTAGATATGATCCATATATGTACCCAAGATTGGATTTAACCATGGTGGAGAGCTACTGTATATCATTATCAGGACCAATTTCTAGTTTTTTCTTTGACAGTGACTAACTAGCATTTGTTTCAACATGTTATGGTAGAACCATATTGCCAAAACCACGCAAATGATCTCTTTGTTTCTAATGACAGAAAAACCATCTTTCTGGATTACGGAAAACTTACTTAAAGATATCATTTGACACGGTACAACAACTGATGCAAGTAAAGAGTGACCTGATGCATGTGGTTGAAAGAAATCAAGAAAAGTTCAATGCTGCAGAGGCATATGAGTCCATATTGGCAGGCAAAAGGTATGCACTTTATGATAAAAAGTATAAAATCCATATGTACTTCTGTATAAAGGAGACTGAATCAATTGCAGAATCTTTAATTTTTTAATTTAAATAAGCTACGACTCTAATTTTGTTACCCACTTATAACTCCTTTCTGGTTATGACCTTGTTTTGGTTTTTGAGTTTACAGCAAAGAGCGAATTCAAGATTTTATAGAGTGCATTGCTGATCTACGGGAGTATGATGTGCCTTACCATGTCCGTTTTGCCATTGATAATGGTGATGTTTTTTTTTCACAGTCAATGCTTGTATTTTGTTTCATTATTTATAAATACTGTATATCTCACTTTCTTTCATCCTCAAATCATATTTGCCAGATATAAGATCTGGGCTGTGGTATGATGTTAACGTGTCAAGTGATGGAGTTACATTAGAAAGGAGGCATGATCTTTTGCAACGTGCCGAAGTTCATGTTTGTGCATTTGATATAGAGACCACAAAGCTTCCTTTAAAATTTCCAGATGCCGAGTATGATTTAGTTATGATGATCTCATACATGGTTGATGGACGCGGATACCTGATTATCAATAGAGAGGTGGGTACAGAAGTACATATGGATTTTATACATCGTTGTCGTTATATATACTAACCCAGTATGAGAGATTGGACCTTATATATACTAACCCAATTGTCGTTATCTTTGATTTTCCAAATTTTCGTAGTACTCATACTGGGTTAGCATATATAAGGTGCATGCATAGTAGATTAACTTAGCTTTAGAAGTAGGATTGTTAGAGCTAAATAATCTTGGAACCAAAAACACACAGTGGATCAAAACTGTTTTTGATACTTTATTGAACTAGGAGAAAGGCTCTTTAAATAGAGCTGTTACAAAACAGAAAGCATGAAATATTGCTAAAGAAACTCTAACAGAAAGCTACGTGGATTGAACTTGTCAATCCTTTAAAAAAATGCACATGCTCCTATAATACAAGAACTTATTTGCTATCAAGTCAAACAACAACCAAGTCAATAAACCCAACAATCCTCCCTCAAACTGAACTTGTAGAAGACAATTCAGTTTGCAACCTTTCTAACACTGAGCATCTCACGGAGCTTTATAAACGTCTCAAGTTTTACGGGCTTTGTCATTATATTTGCAACCTGTTCCTTGGTGTCACAATATTCAAGCTTAACTTCTCCATCCTTAACTAATTCACGTAAGAAGTGAAATCTCACCTTAATGTGCTTCGACCTTCCATGAAACACGGGATTTCTAGATAGCTTAATTGATGAATTGTTGTCACATAAGATGGTAATGCACCTGCACTAAATTTGATTAAAGTTTTCCAAAACTCCTCTCATCCAAATGCTTTGGCAAGCACAAGCACAGGCCGCTACATATTTCGCTTCTGTCGTCAAAAGAGTAACGATAGGTTGCTTTCTTGAACTCCAGGCTACTGTTGCACCACTCATCAAGAACACATACCCGGAGGTACTTTTTGCACCCAACATCCTCCGCAAAATCACTATCGGTATACGCTTTGAGATTACTATCTAAACGTTTCTTGTAAACAAGCCTAGTTACGTTGTTCCTTTAATGTAGCGAAGTACTCGTTTTGTTGCAATCATGTGAGCCTCTCTTGGACGTGCCATAAACCTGCCAAAAAAACATACTACATACATAATATCGGGCCTTATAACAGTCAAATACATCAGACATCCAATTAGTTGCTTATACAACGTCATATCAACTTCTTCACCTCCTTATTTGGACAACTTTGTTCCAGGGACTATTGGATTGTTTACTGTATTGCAATTTTCCATGTCGAACTTTGTGACAACCTCCTGTACATACTTCTTTTGGCCAAGGAACACTCCATTATCAGTTTGTTGTATTTCAACCCCCAAGAAATATTTAATTTTACCCAGATTCGTCATATCAAACTCATTCTTCATGGAAGACTTGAGTTCGTCACATAACTTTAAACATTCCCAATGAAAATTAAGCCGTCTACATACAAACTTACAGGTACGAGGTCTTCATTTTCCTGACGTTTGATGAAAAGAGTGCGTTCTTGACTACACTTTAAGAATCCATTGCTAAAAAAATATTTCTCAATTCTGCTGTACCAAGCCCGAGGGGCTTGTTTGAGACCGTACAACGCCTTTTTTAATCTGTAGACTTTACTTTCTTCCTCAACTCAAGAGTGGTTGCTCTACATAAACATTTTCTTTTAGCTCGCCGTGAAGGAAGGCGCTTTTTACGTCCATTTGAAATACCTCCCATACTCTTCGTGCAACCACAACTAACAACATTCGAATTGTATCCAATCTAGCAACCGGAGAAAATACTTCGTCATAGTCGATTCCATACCTTTGGGAGTAGCCTTTCACCACAAGTCTGGCTTTGTATTTATCCACCTCTCCCTTTTCGTTCATCTTTGTCCGATAAACCCATTTTACTCCAATTTTTGTTTGCGCAGGTGGTAGATCTACTAACTCCCATGTTCTATTTCTCTTGATGGCTTCTAGTTCCACGTCCATCGCTTTCCTCCATTTATCTTCTTTTGTAGCCTCCTTGTAATTTGTTGGATCGTCTTGAGACACAAACATTGCTAGGTTTAGCTCTTCCTCTTCTTTGGATAATCCCTCACCGCTAATATAATCTTGTAGATGTATGGGAAGTACTCTGCCTCTGTTTGCTCGTTCAGGTTGAACTCGTTCTACAGATTGGCTGGGAGATCTGTCTTTATTTATTGACTCATATCGGGAGCTTGAGTCATACTCCTCTTCCGATTCTTCTTCAAAACCTTCATCACCTTTCCAAATTAAAGTGTCACTCGCTCCATCTTCGAATCTTCTCCAATCCCAACCTTGATTTTCTTCAAAAATTACATCCCTGCTAGTGATGATTTTTTTTGTTTCCGGATCTAACAACCTGTATGCTTTTGATTCTTCTCTAACTCCCAAGAAAACACATTTGAGACTTTTGTTATCCAACTTCACTCTTTCTTTGTTTGGAATATGAGTGTGGGCCATGCATCTAAAGACTCGGAAGTGGTTGACATTTGGTTTAGAACCCGTCCAAACTTCTTGTGGTGTCTTCTCCTTAACCGCAGTGGTAGGACTTATGTTTAGTATGTGCACACTCCACCTTAGAGATGGCCAAATGGGCCCGGCCCGGCCCGTAACCGACGGAGGACCGGGACCGGGACCGACCGGGACCGGTTGAGGGACCGCCGGTTATGATCCGGTTAGGGTTTTTGACGTTTTTTGGGACCGGGACCGGTTATGTAACCGGTTATAGGCCCGGCCCGGTCAACGAAAGTCAACGAAACGTATATATATAATAAACCGTATTTTTATTGTGTATTTTTAAACATATTTACAACAAAACGTATTTATAAACGTATATATATATATATTACAAAACGTCTTTATAAACGTATATATATATAACAAAACGTATTTATAAACGTATATATATATATATATATATATATATATAACAAAACGTATTTATAGTAAAATGTATTTATAATAAAACATATTCAAAATATCATATTACAAACATATTAATAACATATTAAAAATTTATTAATAACCAAAAATTTATAAAAAAAATCATTTTTTTTTTAATAGGCCCGGTCGGGACCGGTTATGGGACCGGGACCGGGACCGGTTGGGACAACCGGTTACTAATAACCTTGACCGGTTACAAGGAAAATCACCGGGACCGGGACCGGGACCGGTTACCGCCGGTTTTTGTCGTGATTAGGCCCGGTAGGGACCGGTTAAGGCCCGGCCCGGGACCGAATTTTGGCCACCTCTACTCCACCTGGCTGCTTCTACCCAAAACACTTTTGGCATGTTTTTTTCGTCTAACAAACACCGAACCATGTTCATTAGTGTTCGGTTTTTGCGCTTCGCTACAACATTTTGCTGGGGTTTAAAGGCTGCTGTGAGTTGCCTCTTAATACCTTGTGTTGCACAGTACTTGTTGAATTCATTTGATGTAAACTCGCCTCCTCTATTGCTCCTTAAACAACGGATGCTCATTCCAATCTCCATTTCCACGAGGCTTTTGAATTTTTTACAAAGCTCAAAGGTTTCACCTTTCTCCGTCAAAAAATAAACATAGTCTTTCTACTAAAATCATCAATAAAGCTCAAGATGTACCTTTTATTTGTTGCAGTTGTTTGAGAAACTGGCTCGCACAAATCTGTATGAACCAGCTGCAAGCGCTTTGTGGCTCTTCATTTAACTTGTTTTGGAATGTTTTCTCTGTGTTGCTTCCCTTTATTGCATACCTCACAAACGTTGCTCATGTTCTTTATCTGCGGCAACCCTTCCACCATCTGATTGCCAGGCAACAATTGCAGATTTTTGTAACTTAGGTGGCCGTACCTTTGGTGCCACAAGGATGTTACATCATCTGTAGTAACTTGTCGGCAAGAGGATGAATCGACTTCGGCTAACAGAGGGAACATTTTGTTTACTGACATATTAGATTGTAAGATGAGTCCGAACCTATCATGAAATATCTTGCAACACCTGTTTTGTATAAGAAGGGCCAGATTTCTCTCTTGTAGCTGCCCTATACTCAATAAATTTGTTGATAGTTCTGGAACATAGTAGACGTCACTGATCACGTGAACTCTCCCGTCAATTTTAAGCTTAACACTTCCTTTCCCGCTAACTTGTATTTGTGCACCATTCCTGAGTTTCACGAAGTGATCAAACTCCTCATAAAATACGGTGAACCATTTCACATTGCCTGTCATATGGTTAGAACATCGCGAATTGAGAAACCATACCTTGTTGCCTTTAGCTCTTTCCTTTTCAGCGTATGCCATCAGAAGAAGTTCTTCGTGCTCCTATAAATCTGCATTGTTTGCCTCTCTCTCCCATGCTGGGCATTCGTACTGAAAATGCCCTAATTTGTGACATTTATAGCACTCTACTGTGGATCTTCTTCCTCGTCTAAATGATCCCCTAAAGTTGCCTCGACCTCTTCCTCTTGTTGTTCGTTCTTCTGCTGAAGCTCTGAGGACCTGCTCTTCATCAATGTTGCTCCTCATTCTTTGCTCATGGACGAGCAAACTGCTTTGTAGTTCATCCAAGGTCATAGTATCCAGATTATTGGACTCTTCAATGCTGCATACCACATAATTGAAGTCCATCGTCATTGACCTCAATATCTTCTCGGTAATGATGTTTTCTTGCACATTCTCCCCACAGTTCTTCATCCTTTTAGCTATTGCTAAGGTTCGAGCAAAATAGCTATTTACCGATTCTCCAGCTTTCATACTTTGGCGTTTCAAAGTCTTTCCTCAGAGCTTGCAGCTGTGCTCGTTTGACTTTGGTCAATCCTGCATACTTTTGCTTCATCCTGTCCCAGATTTGTTTGCTTGTGTCTGTATTTAAGATGGTGTCCAGGACGTCTCGACCTATAGCTTGATACAAATAATTCTCCAGCTTCAAATCTCTTAGTATCTGGTCACTTCTTAGCTTCTGTTGTGCCTCCGACGGTGTCGATCCCCCTTCCATGGAAATCCCGTATTCAATAAGATCCCAATACTTCTTTGATCTTATGAAATTTTCCATTAATTTAGCCCAATGGGCAATGGTCATAATAACCATCAAACTTTGGAATCGAAGGTACTACAAACCCCTTTCCATTGTTACTCTCTGCCATCTCTCTCTGCCTTTTTTCTCTTTTCTACCTCTCTTTTGCACTCTTAATCAGGTCCGTGATGGCTCTAATACCACTTGTTAGAGCTAAATAATCTTGGAACCAAAAACACACAGTGAATCAAAACTGTTTTTGATACTTTATTGAACTAGGAGAAAGGCTCTTTAAATAGAGCTGTTACAAAACAGAAAGCATGAAATATTGCTAAAGAAACTCTAACAGAAAGCAACGTGGATTGAACTTGTCAATCCTTAAAAAAAACGCACATGCTTCTATGATACAGGAACTTATTTGCTACCAAGTCAAACAACAACCAAGTCAATAAACCCAATAGATATGCATGTGCACACATTTTGAAGTTTTTTTTTTTGCACTTAATGTTATTATGTAAATTAGTTGGTATACTTATTAAAAACTTTTTGGAGAAAATTGCCCTTATAGTTGAATATTTTGGATGCATAACTATAGAGATTTTGATTAATAGAACGATCAATTATGTTAGGCAAAGAAACAATGAATGGCTTCGTCTGCTCTATTTGCTTATATATACAGTGTACGTATATGGATATATAGCGCCTCATGCTCAATATTGACTATAAAAAGCTTAGTGTTTTTTGTGATATTTGGAGTTCATTATATATATATATATATAATATAATATATATATATATATGTTTGTTATTGTTTCTTGAGGTGCTTAGGCTTCCGATTCAAATAAGTATTGCAATTTTGTAATTCTTCTTGAAGGACGTCTTAAGATGCCATGCTTTAGTTAAGTTGGTCTCAACTGGTTTCCATTGCAATTATTTTCAGTGTGTTGGTGAAGATATAGAGGATTTGGAATATACTCCAAAACCTGAATTTGAAGGATACTTTAAAGTGACAAATGTGAAGAATGAGGTGCGAGTTCTCACAATTCCTTCAGATGTTATTTAGCTGGTGGCTGAGGTGCATTCTTTAAAATTTGACGATTTAATTTTTGTTTGCACACAGGAAGAACTTCTTAAATTGTGGTTTTCTCATATGAGAGAGGTGAAGCCTGGTATTTATGTCACATACAATGGAGACTTTTTTGATTGGCCATTCTTGGAAACCAGGGCAGCTCATCATGGCTTGGGAATGAATGATGTATGCTACAAACTTTTGTCATTTAAATTAAAATTCTAATTCTTTATCAACCATATTATGTGCTTAATTTAGATGATCCAATAAGAAGATTGGAAACTAGATATGTTATTGATTCACTGGTAATTAAAACGTATAGTAATCTGCTTATTGCAAATGAATATTAAAGTTTACACATGAATAATGGCAGTCAGTCTGTGTTGAATTTTGGTGATTGATACTGTTCTTGTAAAAGCTTAAAATCAGCAGAAAAGCGAAGTGTCACAATGGTGGTTATTTGTTTGAGGGCCTATTTCTAATATTCAGGTAGTACCTGACATTATTAATTACTAATTTTTTTCACCCTGCAGGAGCTAGGATTTCAGTGTGACAAAATTCAAGGTGAATGTCGTGCTAAGTTTGCATGCCATCTGGATTGTTTTGCATGGGTCAAACGTGATAGTTATCTACCTCAAGGGAGCCATGGTTTGAAGGTGCAACCTAATTAATTCAGATTTACTGGTTTTTCTTTTGGATTTCATGTTTTCTTTTCATATGCTTGTACACGAAAACTGGTGACTTTGGGAGGAAAGGTTTTGTACACAGCCGTTCCAATGCATTTCAAAGAGGCTGTTCCGATGTCTTGTTAAACTATGACCTTCCAGTCAGAGAGAAGGCATCTTACCCATGGTCTTCATATGCCTGCAAATGAACGCTAAGTGAATCAAAATGGTCAGATCCAATGTCTAAACTGAATTCAATAGCTAAACCGGTATCTGAGTTTAGTTATCCAAATGTTCTTCAAATTCACATCTGAATTTTTTAAGCAAAAAAATTCATTAATACCTAATTGAAACAGTAGACTACCTCATTAAATTCCTCACATACCATGTAAGAGTTCCTCAATAAATTTTAGAGATCTTTATAGCAACAGACATGTCTAATTTTTTTTCAAGTTCTATCTTGTTATTCTAGTGGAAAGTTAATAGAATCTTCTCTATTATGATATCAGGCTGTCACTAAAGCTAAATTGGGCTATGATCCATTAGAGGTAAATCCCGAGGATATGGTTCGTTTCGCAATGGAAAGACCCCAGGTATGCATTTGTATGAATGGTCTTGTTATCGTCAATATGGTTTATTATGCAGTCATAACGACATGCTTAGTTTAGAAGTCTAAATATTAACGAGGTTTGGATGGTTAATTGACATGATGATATATCCTTATAATTATTCTCTTGTTCATTAACATTTCACATAGGATTCTACATATAAAATATATATCTTACTGTGGATTTATGTATCTGAATGCATGACTTAACTAGATCAACCTGACACACTTCATTCTTTTTTCTGTATGTGATCATGCTTTCTGTTGCTATGTGTTGGGAATTCTGGTGTTAAGGCCCAAGAGCCCAGTCTCTCAAATGGGTAAGAAGCCCATAATATGGAAAGTGTACACGAGGAGAGAAAAGGTAGCAGGTCGCTACTGAAGGGATTAAAGTAGTTCTGTGGAGAGAATAAGAAGGCATTCAGTTATTTTTTGTCAATTCTGTTTTAGGAGAGAATTCTTTGGAGAGGAGTCCCTGACTGGTTATTTTCCCGGTTGATGTAGAGCTTAGGCTTATTTTCCTTTCCAATTTTTTGTGAGATTAGGTTTACTCAAACCCATGGTACCCCCAGCAGGCTCTGGCCAGTTCCTCGTCGGCCCATCGTTGAATCATGGGTCAGGGACTCCTCTCCAGAGAATTCTCTCCTAAAACAGAATTGACAAAAAATAACTGAATGCCTTCTTATTCTCTCCATAGCACTACTTTAATCCCTTCACTAACGACCTGCTGCCTTCTCTCTCCTCGTGTACACTTTTCATATTATGGGCTTCTTACCCATTTGAGAGACTATGGCCTCTTGGGCCTTAACACCAGAATTCCCAACATTATGCTTCATACTTGTACTTCCATGGATATGCTTTGTAATTTATTTTATGGACATTTTAAAGTTATCCAGAACTATTCTTATATGTTCCCATCTTGGGAAACTACATTTCAGATGATGGCCTCCTATTCAGTATCTGATGCCGTGTCAACATACTACTTGTACATGACTTACGTTCATCCCTTCATTTTCTCCCTTGCAACTATAATACCGATGCCTCCTGATGAAGTATTGCGGAAAGGAAGTGGGACCCTCTGTGAAATGCTTCTCATGGTTCAGGTTTGTGGTTTATTTGTTCCATTTTTCCCTTTTCATTCATGTATTCCATAACTTCTGCTCCTTATGTGATGTTCTACACATGAAAGAACGCATCCCACAATAATTTCTCTTGTTCATGCATGTTTTGCTCTTAATGTATGTGCAGGCGTACACAGCAAATGTTATATGTCCTAATAAGCACCAATCTGAAACAGAAAAGTTTCATAAAGGTCACCTTCTTGAGAGTGAGACATACATCGGTGGCCATGTGGAGTGTCTAGAAACTGGTGTTTTCAGATCTGACCTTCCAACTAGTTTCAAACTTGATCCATCTGCATACAAGGTAAGCTATTCATCTTCTCAGGCACAGCACCTAGATTTTATTTTGAGTATGGGCCTTGTGATCATCAATATGATTGGAGACACAATTTTGTTTGGATTTCAATTTCTAAATTCTAATCATAATCCAGTTACAACAATACTTCTTGCTTTATTATCACTCTATCTTTTCTTTATTTTATTGAAGTTCTCCAATATTAGCATAATCTGGAACTGTGCATCTACAAATCTTATTATGTGTAGTTAAGTTGTACTGGTGGTTAGTATTGTTTTTATCTTAAACATAAGCAAGTTGAAATTGGGTTTTAATAAGATATATATGGTTCATCAAGACATGAATATGGTTTTATTGCTCAAAGTATTAGCAGACCAATATATGATGTTCATAACTATTAAAAAGATTGAAGTTGGTATCTTAGATCAGATGATTTAGTGTAGTCAAAGTAGGGGCCTTGTTTGGAATATTATAGGTGAAAGATGCTATGGTATTGACTAATGGATAAGTGGCTCTATGAAGAAATTTATCATCTAAACTTTTGTTTATCATCAACAAGTGATGATAGTATCCTAATATAGTTTTGGTAATACAGAACTCAGTTACGGTAATTTTCTTTTACTATTGCTAGACGTTTGGGCTGCCAACTAAAGTTTGCTTTATGTCTTTTTTCCCAGCAACTTATCGAAAATCTGGATCGTGATCTACAATATGCTATTAGAGTAGAGGGTAAGATGGATGTTGAATCAGTTTCAAACTATGATGAAGTGAAGGATGCTATTATGGAAAAGGTACTGTTAGGACTTCCTATTTTTGATGTGATGAGGCTAGGAAATTACTGCATGTGACACCTCTCTTGTAAATTTTCCCTGTGCAGCTTATAGGTTTACGAGATGAACCTACACGAGAAGAAACCCCCCTTATTTATCATTTGGATGTTGCTGCAATGTATCCGAACATTATATTGACTAACAGACTTCAGGTATGCACATTGACCAATTTTAGAAATGAAGAAGACTGATAATAACATGTGTCAAGAAGATGCTTACCTAGTTAATGGAGTTTCTTTGTCAATGTCAATATAAGCTGACATCAATTGAACTTGCATAATCCAATATAACTTGCTATTTACCAAAAGACTGTACTTCTGTGCAATGCCAGCCACCATCAATAGTTTCAGATGAGGTTTGCACTGCATGTGATTTCAACCGTCCAGGGAAATCGTGTCTTAGGAAACTTGACTGGGTTTGGCGTGGGGAGACATACACAGCAAAGAGAAGGTACATTGTTTGTTTCTCTATTGTTATATGACCACTTACACAATAGAAATATACTAACAGCAGGTTTATTGATGTGAAATTGGATATCAGTGATTACTATCATATAAAGAGGCAAATTGAATCTGAAATGGTTGATGGCCCCTCATCAAAATCGTTCCTTGATCTGCCTAAAGTGGACCAACAATTGAAGCTGAAAGACCGTCTAAAGAAATACTGCCAAAAGGTACATAGCATGTCATATCAGTAACTATAAATTCTGTAACATGATAGCATTAATCATAACATATTGTGCTGCCCCCACAGGCATATAAGCGAGTTCTTGACAAGCCAGTTACTGAAATTCGAGAAGCAGAGATATGCATGCGTGAAAACCCATTTTATGTTGATACTGTCCGTAGGTAAGCAGTTTGAATATTTTTGCAGCTCCAGGCACATAATGTCATAGTCTGTATGGGTTTTTATTATGTACTATGAGGACTAGGATAAGTACTTTATGCTTGGCTATAACATGTTATCTTGTGCTTCAAAGTTTCCGTGATAGAAGATATGAATACAAAGGACTCAATAAAGTATGGAAGGGGAAGTTGTCAGAAGCAAAGGCTAGTGGAAATCCTATTAAGATCCAGGAAGCACAAGTAACATTCCTTAAACTTCATGTGCTTTTATGTGCCAGTTATATTTCCAATTGCAATTGTCGTTTACTAGGACATCTTCTTCTGTAACCATAATCGCTGGTATTTATTAATATTGCAGGATATGGTGGTTCTTTATGATTCACTACAGCTGGCTCATAAATGTATTCTGAATTCCTTTTATGGATATGTCATGCGCAAGTATGTTCTTTTCACTTTATTTCATCTTTTGCACACGAATTTTGTATCTGAATCACCTAATGATTCAATGTACAACTTACATGATTTCATTCCAGAGGTGCAAGATGGTATTCTATGGAAATGGCTGGAGTTGTTACATATACTGGAGCAAAAATAATTCAGAATGCCCGTTTACTTGTTGAAAAGATTGGAAGACCCCTTGAATTAGATACAGATGGTATATGGTGTGCTTTGCCGGGATCATTCCCTGAGAACTTTACCTTTAAAACAAGGTACCTTTTTGCTCTGCATAATTTCTTTTGCATTTTTTCGTGATCTATTCTTGATAGTCATGACCTTCATACCCCTTTTTATAAACTTTTCCTGCAGAGACTCAAAGAAGAAGCTGACAATCTCATATCCATGCGTTATGCTCAATGTTGATGTGGCAAGAAACAACACAAATGACCAATACCAGGTTAGACGGATCCCTTTTTTCTTCCAAATATGTAATTCTTTTGTTGCCTGTGACTAGCTTTATCATAGCTTATTCAATAATTAAGTACCCCCAATGGTTTAGATATATTGTGTATAAACACCGTATCTTCTATTATTGTCATCAGACTCTCAAAGATCCTATCAACAGAACATATACGACACACAGTGAATGCTCAATTGAATTTGAAGTGGATGGGCCATATAAGGTAAATCAGTGAATCTGTAATGCGACCCCATATTTTGACAGTTATTAGGTATTAGTCATGATATTACCTTTCAATCTCATGTACTGTATCTGAATGTAGGCAATGATTCTTCCTGCTTCTAAAGAAGAAGGAATATTAATAAAGAAGCGGTATGCTGTTTTTAACGACGATGGAACGCTTGCTGAACTGAAAGGTTTTGAGATAAAGAGGAGGGGTGAACTAAAGCTCATTAAAGTTTTCCAAGTACACTCTTTCTCCTATAAGATTGTATGACTTGATGTTTTTTAAATAGTCTCTGGGCATTGTCTTTTGAAATGATGATTGTGTATTTTCTATATATATTTAGACAATTCTTGTTCTTACGCTGTGTGACTTGAAGATGTTGGGATCTCAAATTAAATTGTGAATGTATAAAGCCAGAGTTGGATGTAATTTTTCTCGTGTTGATATGAAATGTTTAGTAAGTTGTCTCATTGTTTTGTGTCTTTTTTGTTATGTACTTATGAGGGGTGTGGAGAGGAAGCTACTAGTATCTGTGTGCTCAGTTTTGTGTTGCATGCTGTCATGTGATGTGCTGATAGGTGATCTACTTCTGTTTTCAGGCTGAGCTCTTTGACAAATTCCTTCATGGGTCTACCTTAGAGGAATGCTACTCTGTAGTTGCTTCTGTTGCAAACCGTTGGCTTGATCTTCTTGACGTATGTAAATCTAACTTCATTCTTCATTATTGTGGTGTTGCTATATTAATCTCTTCTGTTGAAAAATTGCTACAATGTTTTGTCATGGTTTTCATTTTTTGCTTTTTTGATGAAAGAGAGAAAATGAGAGCACATATTTAGGGTCTTGTAGTCAAGGATCCAATAGAAAAGTTGTCACTGATTATCAAATATTTTCAGAACCAAGGTAAGGATATTGCAGACAGTGAATTGCTTGATTACATATCAGAGTCGAGCACTATGAGCAAGTCTTTAGCAGAGTATGGTCAGCAAAAATCCTGTGCAGTAACCACAGCAAGACGCCTTGCTGATTTTCTTGGTGATACGATGGTTAAAGACAAAGGACTGCGTTGCCAGTATGTTGTTGCGTGTGAACCAAGGGTAAGTGCCTGATTCGGCTTAAGATGCTCACTTTAGGATATTTAAACATGTATATTCCACTTGCAGAAACGAAATAACGTTTAGGACTCTTTGCATCTGTAAAGTTGATTTCATAAATAATTTTTAAAGAAGGCATTGCAATCATTAAATAAGGGAGATAATAATTGTTTTCTATTTGTTTCTTTCCATTTGCTTTAAAGCTTATTACTGATCAAATCTTAATCTTGATGAGAACAGGGAAACCCGGTGAGCGAACGTGCTGTTCCTGTTGCAATATTTGAAACCGATGCAGGTAAAACACTAGATGTTTATGCTTGAAAGCTTTTAAAATTAAAGTTACAATCCTTAAATGTTTTATTTGCAGAAATTATGAAGTTCTATGTGAAAAAGTGGTGCAAAATCTCCTCAGATATTGGCATTCGATCCATTATTGATTGGTCATATTACAAACAACGGCTTAGCTCTGCTATTCAAAAGATCATTACAATTCCTGCTGCAATGCAGAAGGTTCAGTTTTTCTTATAAGAGCTTGATGAGGTATTACATCTCATTCACATGTAACTGTTAGAATTTATTTCAGGTCTCAAATCCTGTTCCAAGGGTAGTTCATCCTGATTGGTTGCATAAAAAGGTTCGTGAGAAGGATGACAAAATGCGTCAAAGGAAATTAGTTGATATTTTCAGTTCGGTGAACAAGGGTAATGAAGAGGAACTTAGAAATGATGCAAATGGCAAAAATCATGTACATGAACAGAACGTTGAAGATATGGAGGACTTCAGGAGCAATTGTAAATCTCTCAGTGTTGGACCTACACCTATTGTTCGTTCTTATGAAACTAATCATAAGGAAAAAGCTGATCATGTTAAAATTGGGAATCCGCTATTGGCATCGGTACAACCAATCGATATCCCTATGGAGAATATTGACAGACATGTGGATTACCAAGGATGGCTAGATTCAAGAAAGAGAAAGTGGAAGCAGGTTCGTGAAAAAAGGAAGCGACAAAGGTACTCTTTTCTTTTATTGCCCCAGTAATATCATGGATGTATATAGTAAAAAGTGATGCTGATTGTCAGTTTTGGAATATTTGCGGTGTTAGGTTGGACAATTTGGACATAAATCACAGGAATGGAGTTGCCGGTATCCCTAGTAGTGTGGCAAGTAAGAGACAAGCTCAGGGAAGAACTGGGGTCAATTCATACTTTGAAAGGCATGAACTAGCCCTTACACGCAACCACTGGCAGGTAGTGTAGTTCTTTTGCATTTTGACTTGTGTTTTCCCGTTTATTCCCCTCGACTCCTATAATTCTCTTTTTGGCCAGATAATTCAACTTGTTCCAAGTTTGCAACATGGCCAATTTTTCGCTTGGGTTGTTGTGGAAGGAATCATGCGGAAGATACCTATCAATGTTCCCAGAGTATTTTATCTTAATTCTAAAGCTCCCGTAACAGAAGAATTTCCTGGAAGACGCGTCAACAAGATTCTTCCTCATGGGCACCAATGCTATAACCTGATTGAGGTACATCTGTTGAAGTTAGATGTAGAAATGATTTTTCGCAGGATTGATTTACAAAGCTAAATGAAAGGTACACTTTACAGGTCATAATTGATGAAGATCAATTTAGGGCAGAAAGCAGGAAACTTGCTGCTCATCTTGCAGATCCTGAGGTGGAGGTCAGTTTATCCATCCTAGAAGACATTTCTCGCTATTTGCATTGTGCATGCGGACTTCTAGCTTTCATGCTGCAGCTTAAATTAAGTCAACACTCAACAGAGATTTTTGTTGATCTGTTGCTAAGAAACTCTATCTCCATGTTGTTATATGCTGATTGTCCAATTACATTTCCAGCTGACTCTATTGATATTTTGACAGGGGATATATGAAACGAAAGTAGCTCTGGATTTTAATTCCATCCTCCAGGTTGGATGTGTTTGTAAGGTGGATAAATCAGCTAAGAAACGAAATGCAAACGAGGGTTGGAGCCTGAGTGAATTGCATATGAAAACCACTACAGAATGCTCTTACCTAGACTCATCAATTCCTTTCTTCTACTTGTATCATAGGTAAGTTGCACTTTTCTGTTAGCATTTGTTTGCCAATGTGGTTATGAAAATCATGCATGTGTCTGTCCAGTTTGAGAGAGAGGGTGAAAACCCCATTATCTTTGTATTTTTGTTTCATTTTCAGCTTATCTGAAGTTAGGGGCATCTATCTTGGGTATTTTCCTTCATCTTCAAGCATCCATGCAGTAATGGTCAACCCCTTCCAGAATAAAGAGTTATCACCATATATTTTAGAGAAACAGTTTCGTGAAGCTTGCCAAGTTTTATCAATTGAATCTTCCATGCCAAGAGATGCTTCTAATTTTAAGGTGAGATTTGACTTCAGTAATCTAAAAAAGTATATTTGTTTATTCTTATGAAAGTATCTTATCTTCATGCATCATATGTGGAAATATTCAGGTGGACTATGTTGGAAGCCCCAAAGATGCTGAAAAGATCTTCCAAAGAACAATAAGTGAATTCAGGTATTACGTCTTTCATATATTCTTTGTTCTGTCTATTGCTATTTCAAGTGGCAAAAACAGACGGGCCTTTTACCATTCCTACTGTTTTAAGCTTTATTTATAATTGTGTGCAAATCACTGATATCCAGCAGACAGAGATAACCTGCAACCCATATTTGACTCTATTGTCTATACGAATAAAGGAAGAGTTATACAAAGCTATACTATTTTTCACTTTTAATTTATCGACAGAAATCAGCTTCATGGACCTGCAATTGCTGTAATTGAATGCCCAGATGTTCATTTAATGACGTCTGGTATACGAGCCCTAGATGATTTCCCATGCGTGAACATTCCTTCAAATGCCCGTGATAGTCAGTATCAGGTAGTTGAATATGTGGTACAAGCTGCTTTCAGTGAAGATCTTGTGTTTAATTGGTGCTCATCATACTCTTTTCTTGCTCCATATAGGCTCTTGGCTGGCAGATTGTAGCTGCAAAAATCGGGATGCAACGTTGTGCTGCATCATCTCGGTGGTTGAATGAAAGAATCTCTCTTTCTAGATATTCTCATGTAATATCTTGATTCATGTGTCTCTAGTTTTGTATTTCTATTTTTACGTTCATGAGTTTATGATGATTCAATTTGAACAGGTTCCATTAGGAAATTTCGAAGTAGATTGGCTTGTACACACTGCAGATATCTTCTTTGCAAGAGCGTTACGTGATCAGCAACAGGTCACCACTGGTTCATTATTATAAGAATGTTACCCCCTTTTCTGACTTCAATCAGATACAATTATGCAGCATCATGTTTAGGTCTATAAATTTACCTGGAGTTCCTTGTAACATTTGCAGATACTTTGGGTATCAGATAATGGAATTCCAGACCTTGGAGGGGATAATGAAGAAGAGACTTGTTACTCCGACGAGGTCTGTGTCAGAACTATATAAAACATTAACTGGATTTAGTTAACGTTTTTACTTCATAAATGCTACCCATTTAACATATTGTGGTTTCTTAATTATCTAATCGGCGATTCTTTGCAAATAGGTCAATCAACCTGTTCTTACTTATCCTGGTGCTTACAGGAAAGTCACAGTTGAACTAAAGGTCAGCACTTTTCCTTTCGTCACCCTTGTGCTAAATAAATACATATAAGTTTTGTAAGTAATTCTCTAATGGATGCAGATACATCACCTTGCTGTCAATGCTCTGTTAAAGAGCAACCAAGTAAATGAAATGGAGGGAGGTACCCTATTTGGCTTTGATCATGATCTGAACTCTGGATCACATCTTCCCAACGAACAGTTGGGCTTGGACGAGGCCACGTCTTGTTCACCAGCATTTCGTGTCCTTAAGCAATTGATTCAAAGATGCCTTGCTGATGCAGTCACATCGGGAAATATATTCGCTGATGCAATGTTACAACATTTGTACAGATGGCTCTGCAGGTACTACTTCCATTTGTTGGCTTACTAAATGCTCGTCATTTTGATGTATTTTTGACACTTTATGTATTGTTATCCAGTCCGCGGTCAAAACTTCATGATCCAGCTCTTCATCGAATGCTTCACAAGGTAATTCTAATTTATCTGAAAACAAGGGGACTACAATCAAGATAAGAATTCCATCATGAAAGTGAATTGGACCCGCTTAGATATTTATATTTGTTAACAAGTATTTCTGTTATTTCTGTTGTCTGCATTCATATTCTAATTCATCTGATCCAATACAGGTCATGCAAAAGGTGTTTGCACTACTGCTAGCTGAATTTCGAAAATTGGGTGCCACAATCATATTCGCCAATTTTTCAAAGGTTATATTGGACACTGGAAAATCAGATTTATCTGCAGCCCAAGCTTACTGTGATAGTTTACTGAAAACTGTACAAACAAGGTTAGCCCTTGTGCATTTCTCTAATTTGAAAACAACACCATGTTTAAGTGGTTTGTGCCTTTTATGTCCTCTCTGATCTCTGGATTTTTTGGTTTACTAGAGACTTGTTTGAGTGGATTGAGCTTGAACCGCTGCAATTCTGGCACTCACTGCTATTTATGGATCAGGTTAGTTCATTCATGTTTATTCCATCTGTGCTATATTTGGTAACTTCATACACTGTTTATTATGGTGTTTGAGAAAGTTATACTTTCTATGCCATATATAGACCATAAAAAATGTAATTTGGTCGATCCTGTATGATAGCATCTCGAGACTTTCCATAATCATTACAATGTGCTACATAAAACATGTTCTCTGATGCTTCTTTTCACCCTTCCACGACAGTACAACTATGGTGGAATTCAGGCTAAATCAGATCAAACAGATGAGAGCACACATGATGATCCCCAAGTGGATATTGTTTCCAGCTGGAATATTGCAGAAAACCTGCCCAAGGAGACTCAGGTACACGACCTTTGTGAACATGAAGCATGTGCCTTGTGGAAATAATACAAACTTTCTCAATAACTTCAATTGGAACAGTGAGTAGCACTATATTTTTTTGATGATAATTCTGCTCAAGAACTTCACTTGCTGGTTTAGCATGAACATAGTTCCTGAGATATTATAAAGCTGAACATTTACATTTGTAGCTCCTTCCATCTATCATGTGTCTCAGCTTGATTCTTTCTATTTTATAGGATCATTTTATTTTGATAGTCTCTGAGTTCATGTACCTCCCTTGGAAATTTGCACAAGATGAAGCCAGCAAAAGAGCAACTATAAGGGATGATGACTTGTGCACTCCATCGATCACAGCTGCTGCTGCTGAAATATTTGAGTCATGCATGACTGATCATCTTAGGGAACAGGTCCAAATTACAATTAATAATTTAGTTGTGGAATTTGGCACGTTTTATATTGTGATTAAATCGTGAACTCGTGTTATATCTCTTACAGATTAGATCTCACTTCACAGACAAGCTATTGAGAATAGTTTGTGATACTGTTCTTCACATGAGAGGGACGGGGAAGTCTCAGGCAGCTCAGGATAATTCATCTGGGAATTCAACTATCGAGAACGCATATAAAGGAGATCCTGCACTAGAATTTATTAAGCATGTCTGTGCTGTCCTAGTTCTTGACCAGAATGTGCAGCATGATATTCTGGTAATGATTGCTTTATTATTATAAGAAATTGTTGTTCTTGAGTGTTGGTTAAGACAGCATATGTTCATGATTATTGCATTACATTTTATTGCATGGAAGTGACCTAGAAAGAATCTAGGACTTTCAAGCCATTTTTCATTACATGGTACTCTCTCTGTCCCAGAAAAAAGGAACCAACTTGGTAATTTCTCAGTCCAGAGAAACTATTATTTCAAAATTTTAAAATTAAAACAGTGTGATGTTTCTGAATTACCCAAATTCTCTTTGCGTGTCCGATGAGGAGCCATTTTTACTCTTCTTTGGTAAAAGGTTAATTCATAAGAGCTAGAGTTACTTATATTCCATCTGACTTTATCAGTCCTGTTTTCCATGTACTTTTATTGTTTGAAAAAGTTAAGCTTCTGATGAGATTTTTTTTTCTATGGTGTTCTTTGACGGGCTACTTGATTATTTCTATTTCCTGTAACAAACTGCAGATCATGAGGAAGAATCTGTTAAAATATGTGCGTGTACGGGAGTTTGCTCCAGAGGCCGAGTTTCAAAACTGTTCATTTTCTTTCACTTTACCAAATGTGATTTGCAGGTAAAATATTTCCTTGGTTTTTGTGCTATTATGCAATCAGAATGCCGTGCTTGTTTATATGATGGATTAAACAATAACATTTCACCAATATCATGCCACCGATATCACATTTCAGATGTTTTCATTTGAACTTTATGATTAGCCATCTATTATAAACAAGAAAGAAGGAAAAAGAACATAAAATGGTACTGTGGATTCATGAACTGCTATATGCCAGGTGTTACTGGTTTCGACGATGGGTTTTTGTGGTTCTTGATTGTTAAAGTAGTATTTCCCACATTCAATAGAAAAGAGCAAGAAAATAATTTGCATAAGCAATCTACTAGACTGATACTTCGTTCATCTTTTTTCTTCTTCAAATTATTGCATCTTTTGGTAATTGTGGGTGTCCGAGCCAACTTGTGAGCATTTTGACCAATCCTATGGGGCCTTGAAAAGTTAACAGCCTGACCAAATCTCCAGTGGTTCCAAGGGGACTTGATCTGGTGACTTATGGTGAGGTCTTTTGTTGCAAAGTTGGCTAAGTTGATGTGAAGCATATGATTGTTTGGTTATAATTTGTTTCAACATATTTTTAATTGAAATGAGAACATTTTTTGGGCAGCTACTGCAACGACTGTAGGGATCTGGACTTGTGTCGTGACAGAGCCTTGCTAACTCAGGAGTGGAGATGTGGTGTTCCACAATGTGGGCAGCCCTACAACCGAGAGGTGATGGAGAATGGTCTCCTCCAAATAGTGCGACAAAGAGAACGGCTTTATCATCTTCAGGACTTGGTGTGCGTAAAGTGCAAGCAGGTTAAAGCTGCACACGTGGCGGAGCATTGTGCATGTGCTGGCAATTTTACCCTCAAGGAAGAAGTGTCTGTATTTAGGAACAAAATGGAAGTGTTCTTGAACATAGCCATAAATCAAAAGTTTGAACTTCTCAAAGAATGTGTCTCCTGGATTCTTGAACTAAGATAAAAAGTTAGTCTGTTGAGGTGATTCTTTTTTAGATAACAGATAAATAGACAGTTTGGATTTTGTATTTAATTTTTGTATATATGTATCATAGTTGGAAGATGTTATTTTTTAATCAGGGGAGAGTTGAATCGAACTAATGTACCACTATTATTTTAGTTGATAGTTTTTTATAAGTATATAATATTTATATACGACAAATATCTCCCAAATAACTCAGTCATATACCCTCATGTTTGTTGAGGTTTGAACTCTCGATTTCCAAGGAGTTCAAAGGCCTGGGTCATATACCTTCATGTTTGTTGAGGTTTGAACTCTTAATTTCCAGAGAGTTCAAAGGCCTGCATACTTGATGATAGTCAAGGCATGGCCATTGACCAAAAAAGAGAGACAAATTTGGAAAACCAAGACCAGCTGCTACAAATGAACTAAAAACCATTGAAAACTTGATATGGCAATAGTAATGATATCATATATAAGTTGAAGAAGGAAAAAGAACCTGTGAATTACATGTTTCTCAATTGTTGAATATTGATATGGTTTCAAGTAAAAGAGATGAGATTGGCCACAAGTTGCAGTGCAACTAATTTATAGCAAATATTATGTCCTCTGCCACTAAAGTTACATTACATATGGAGAACAAACTGAAACAGCCAAATCAAACACTGCTAGGCTCTCCCTAAAGCACCAATTGTTACTCAGATACCCAAAATTGTTCATCTATTTGATCCTTCCATTCTCTTCTATACCTCTGTCGTCTTCTTTTTCTTCTTCTCTTTCTTCTTACTTGGTGTTTCTGCTTCATCAGCTTCTGCATGCTTCCTCTTCTTTTTCTTCTTCTCTTCTCCATTCTGCACCTCACCAGCTTCCTCATCTGCATGCCTCCTCTTCTTTTTCTTCTTCTCTTCCTTGCCAACATCTTCATCTGCTTCTTCATCTGTAACAACCTTCTTTTTCTTTTTCTTTTCATCTTTCTTTCCCTCATCCATCTGTGCTTCTTCAGCCTCAGCTTCTAACCGTCCAAGAACAGAGTCCGCTGCTGGATTGTAGCTCTGCACGGCAAACCAATCACAATTTTGTAAAAAGAAAAAAGAGACAACCGAAAAGGGATTTTGAGGTTCATAAATTCACACCTTGGCTGGTGTTATCATTGCCCCAGATCCTTTCTTTTGATCCTTGTTGTACACTTCTATCTTAGGTTTGCCTTTAGTTGATCCCGCGGAACGCCCTAGTTCTCGCCCTTCAAGATTCCTTAGTCTTGCTTCTAGCTAAAGTTGATATAACAAAAATTAAAACCATAAATAGGGCATAAAACGAGAATTATACTAGAGGGAGGTTCAGGGGAAAATCCAAAAAATGAAAAATTGAGGAACACCCTCGTAACTATTCATCTCGACAATATGCACATATGCATACAAGTAATTGAAGTTGTTTCTTGGTTTTTATGCAAGTGTGCATACCAGACAATTTACTTGTATGCACATGCACATACCGCCCAGTTGAACGTGTTACCAAGGTGTTCCTCAGTTTTCCATTTTTTTGTTGTTTTTCCCTACCTGACCCTATACATGTATTTCCTACATATGTGTCCACCATACCTTGAGACGATTCTCCATCCCCATAGAATTGTCTTGGCTATCTCCAAGAGCATCATACCGAATTGCTAATGCCGTTTTGGCAGCAAGAGAGCGAGACATTTTCCCTTTAATCTTTGGTGCGGCTTGACCAATTAAACTTGCATGGAAAATGAGCCCATACTTAGGCGTGGCATGCTTTGTCTTCAAAGCCCTAAAAAGAGCCTTCTCTGCACCAAGAATCTGAACAGTGCTCCCCGGCTGTTTAGCAAGATTTAACAAGCTACCCCCATGAGCAATGAGTCGAGCACCCACAAGTTCTCCAACAAGAGCAGTAAGATTTGGAGCAATCGTATTCATTCTGCTCTTCAAATAATCAAACAGTTGAGCTCTGTACTCTGATAGAGACAGTACTTGATCACACAAGTCCTTAATATTAATCAAATCAAGATCACTGATTTCAGTTCCCATAGAAACCACAGCTGCCTCCTTTAGTTCGGTCTCAACCTCTTCAGAGAGTACCTATTCATAATTGAAACCATCACTTATAAGCATCAAATACATGATCCAGCAAATGATTTACATAATAGTTAATATCAGGAAAAATAGAAGTTTCAAAAAACTCAAGGGAAGACAGTGAAGAATGTGCAACTAATCCTTGGGAAGTGTATATACCTCTGAGAAATCGAGTTTTGCAGCATTTGTCCGATAACCCATGAGCTTAACTGCCTTGGCATAAAGAATGTTGTCTTGAACAATCTTCGCAAGCTCGGGAAAATGCCAGCCGTACCATTCGCGGACCCTCATTGCATAAGTGTTAAGCTCTTTATCAAGATCATCTAACAAGCCAATAGCTTGAATGATCATGGTATCCACCTGATACAACCAATATTAATTGATTAAAATCACATTGATACAAAGCATCGTCAAATCTAGTCAGAGAGCTACATCCTTAGCTCTTATTGACTCGTATATTAAACAGTGTGTGAAAAGAAGCTTACCTTATCAGGACTGAACTTAAGCTTGTATCTGGACAAGCTATGTGATAAACCCAAGCTCATTGGAGCTAGATCTTGGGCACCCAGACCAGTTATGAGTTCAGTCAATTGACTTCTAACACCTCTCATAAGTTCCATCACAGCATGGTTGTGCACACATTCAATTTGCTGCAATAATTGTACATAAACACATAGAGAATGAATATAAACATAAACCAAAAAAGATAAATGATAGTTCTTGAAGCCAAAAATACAACTTACCAGCTTATCCTTGATCACATTTCCGAGTTTGGAGTCTGCAACAGCTAGTGTTTCACCATCGCAATGAGCACGCAAGAACTTGCGCAAACCTTTGGTGGGTTTGCTATCAATTAACAAGGTGGCTGCTGCAAGTGCCTCTGAAGTGTTCTCAAACTTGGAGAAAGCTTTTAGTTTTACCACCTATTGTTACACAAGATCATATAGATTATTTTCAATTTCATGATAAAGAAAATTCACGCATACATAAAATCAAAGATACAACCAACTTAAATAAACAGATATGGCAAATAAAAAAGGCAAAATAAGGAGATTCACAGACTTTCTTGATGACCCTAACAGATTCCCTTGCATGCAAAAATGTTATATGATCATAAACTTAATAAAAAAAGTCATTCGTATACTGTGTCAACATCCATTTTGTTCCAATATTTGCATCACAAATATACCAAATCTAATACCCATTAACAAATACAAAGAAGTTGTTGTCATCACTATATTTTTTGGCACTATGAACACTAATCCTCCACCCCAAGCCTCCCATAAATAAAATTAAACCAGATTCTTTTATGGCATTCACTCCTCAGAACAATTTTCTTACTCCAAAAACACGTCAGGCAGCCCAAAAATGGGTTTTTTTTCTTGTAAAAATCTGTACTCCGTACATGTTCGAATGGAAACTAAAGAAACATTATGCAAATGATTAGTGAGGTAATTACAGCCCAATGGTGCATAGTAAACATATATAATGATTAATGAAGTAATACAAACCTAAAAGAAATAATGCGTTTCTTATTTGAATGAAGAGGATTCAAGTTTCAAGAATCTAGTAAAACAGGGTACAAATTAGGAGAAAGTAAAAGCTGACCTGTCTTGCTGTATCTGCGGATGAGAAGTCCTTCCATAAATCCTGTAAACACGAAATCAGCAAAATGAACAGCATGCAAAATAGACAAATGCTTGGGGTTTAGATGATGCGATGTGTGTGTGTGTGTGTACTTACATCAACTTTGGAGAGCTTTCCTTCATCCAACACTTTGAAAAGGGCAAAGCCTGCTGGTGTTTCAAACAAGACTAACATGATCTTGAAGAAGCAGGTATGGAGGAAGAGGGTCTAGGGTTTAAGAAAATTGAAGGTGACGGCTGATAAAAAGGGAGGGAGGGAGGGAGAAAGAGGGAAGACGAGTTGAGTGGAAGACGTTTATATGTTGGGGACTTTATTTAGGGTTACCACCATTCTTTTAAATAAATTAAAATGCTTTACAATTTACATTTTTAATAATTTTATATACTATTTTAAAATGTTTTATTATCAATATATTCTAACCATTCATTTTTTAGCTTAGGTATATTTGTAGTAGTTATAAAGAGTATTTGAGATTGCTTATAAAAATAATTTATTGATTTATTTCGATGTGATATCGATAATAACATTTTTGAGTATTTGAATAAACAATTTATACCGGTGTTAAACCGGTAATAAGAAGTTTTTGAAGAAGTTAAACCCTTCTGACTTATAATAAATTGATAAGTGTTTTTGTAAAAAAAAATATAAGTTGTTTCAAATAAGCAATCTGAAACACCCCCATAATGTCTCATATCTTGCTAACTAGTCTATATGTATATGTTTAAGTCTATCATTATATATATCTAAATCAGTATTGAAATTTATGTGACGTAATTAAAAATGATAAAAAGTCTGAAACCACTTCTCCCAAGGTCGTCTCCAACCTCCGTGTAAAGAAAAACATCCAAAATGACGATTGTGTATAGTTCGAGGCGTAAGTCCTTATAACCATGGGGTTGTTGTGTAATGGTTGAGACCCTAGGAGGTTTGATTTTAGATTATCACATCAATTATGGTCGCTGAATTTATCAGTACTGATTTTTTTGTATTTACAATTTGTCGAGATTAGTTCAGACTTTAGCATAGGACACCCTTTAAAAAAATACGAAAAAGAAATTCCAACTCTAAGAGCGTCTCCATCCTAGATTGTTTAAAAAAATTAAAATGGAGAACCGAACTCAAAATCTACCAATGAAATTACATTTATATTAATAAATTCTCTATTTTGGAGATTATGACTTTAATTATATTATTAAAATATTTTATATGTATAAATTATAAATGTTTAACATCAAGGTTTTATTGTTTATGAGAATATAATAAAGTATTGTTTCATCATATGGTAATCATTTTTTAGGAGTCTCCAAATTTGAAGAATTTCCATTTTTGACAATCTGTAAGACTTTCTCTCATGATTTTTCCATTTTTGACAATCTGTGAGACTCTAAGAGTAAAATTTTACTCAAAATCTCAATTTTCACTATTTTGGATAGTGTATTGTGTTGGAAATACTAACCACACTAAAAGACACTAAAGTGTTGTTCATGTTTTTTAATACGTGCTAAATTGTGGAGTCTTATTTCACTTCTAATTGATCAGAGGTGGTGATGAAGTCTGAAAGCATAATCAATAAGATTGTTTGCTTTTGTAAATTGATAGACGTTGAATCCGTATAATTGTCTATTTTACCCTTCAAAATATTATAATGTTGAATTTATGTACATTAATACAACTTTATATGTTTATTCATCATCATTAGAAACTTCAAATGTGGACTCGTTTATGGCACATATTTCTTATTTTAAGTTACTGATATTAGGAGCGTCGAACCATCCAATTTAACATTCGATTAGGTATGGATCAATTAACAAATAACGAGCGGAAAAAAGAACAAGCCCCCCAACAAGAAGGAAAATGTGAGATGCAGGAGGGGCGAAAGGAACAAAAAGAAGAAAACTACAAACCAAACACCCCAAAGAACAAGCATGAAACAACCATCTACAACAAACGAGACTAAACTAAAGCACTCAAGGCCATCAGTTAAAATACAAAGATAGATCCGAAGCGGAGTGGATCACATAACGCCCAAAAGGGGTTACATGGAGATGGACAGAAGATTTGGTTTAGCCCTCACACCCTCCACTGTATGGAACCCTTTTGCATTCTTCTTGAGACCCATTCAAAAACTCGAACTTGTATATCTGAAAAAAGGATTGAAGCAAATTACGAGTTGTTTATGAAAACTATGTTGCTGCGTTGTTCCAATATCAGGTAACTTGTGGTCTAGACCGTTGCTTGCCATATCTTCTTCAACCAAGGAGAAAAAGAATTGCCTCCTTGAAGCTTTAAGATATCCTCTGCCATGTTTCCCGGATCAATATTGAGCCCCCACCATTTCAGAACCAAATCCCATACCCCCTTTGCATTCTTGCACCTCGCGATATAGCGATCGATTGGTTCATATGTTCTTCACAACTTGAGCAAAGTACCGAGTCCAAATCGATCCCCTAATTATCCAGGGCATCCCGAACAGGAAGTCTACCATGGAGCACACGCCATATGAAAAATGTTGATTTTTATTGGGACAAGGTTATTTCGTCGAGTTTCTAGGTATAGACCACCGTCTTCGAGGCATTTATCTTCTACTAACGTCTTCAACTTAACACCTCGTCTTCATCCAACAACCACCACCATTTGTCCCCGCAAATCAGGTAAAGGCTGAAAAATTCGTAGAAGATAGATCAGATTTAAAATGTCACTAGAGGCCAACCCCCTCAAATCTCTAGTCCAGTCTCACATAAATTCCCGTCAATTAATATAAATTATTAATAACTAAATTTGTTTTATCTGTATGTTCAATTTTTTTTTACTTTTTGCTTTATTAATTATAAATATATTCTTATTAATGTAAACATTACTTTTTTAATAATTATATAATTATAAAAATAACATCATAAAAATTGAGATTTAACATATAAATAAAACATAAAAAATATAATTATACAAATACAAATAAAATAATTTATATTATATATTCTACTTACCTTAAAATGACATTTTCCTTAGTATAATAAGCACATAAAAGTTGCGTGTATTAACATTATAATGAGTTTTTTTGACATTTTTTCCTCAATTATAATCCTGATTAATATTATTTATTTATTGTTATTATTAAATGTAAATAAATGTTAATTGTTAATAAATATAACTATTAATTATAAACAAATACTAATTATCCATAAATATTAAATTATATAATTAAAATTAATTAAATTTTAATCATACGATAGATATTAATAATAACTAGTAATTATTTATAAATGTTTTTAACTTAATCAATAACTTTTTTTAATCTTTATATCAAATGACAAATATAACAATTCTGAAAATGTTCATGTACGATACAAAAAAGTAGAAGTTACACTTGTTTTATTTTATAGATAATTGAATTATGCTAAATAATTTTAATAAAATATATAATTTAATTATTAATATTTTAGAAAACTATTAACAGATAATAAACTAAAGTAGCTCACCAACCTAAACAAAAGGGCTTCCCTCACTACGAAAGATGTCCCGTGGACGACTTACGACATCCAAGGGAGAGTCCATCAAAATATGCCACTCGTTGGGATCAGACAAAAGAAGGTGGTAACGATGGCCCGGGTGGATAGGAAGGCAGTTTAGTTTACTGTTAGAAAGCGAGAGTAGTTGTCTTTAGGGTGCCATGATGCTCATGGGCAGCTTATCTCTAATTGGATTTCCTTTTCCAACTGGATATGTGAGGCTGACGAATATTTTTTGTTATTCATATTATATGTAATGGTTATTTAAAATCATAGATTAACGTATATTTTTTCTAAAAATTGTTTTAACATATTATATTATTTATTTTTATTATTATCTTGTTCGTATTAATTAACATATTATATTATTAAAAATTTGTTTTAATTATATTATTAGATTTTTTTTTGAATTATAATGTGAAATAGGCTGACTATTTTTTTTAAATATCCTTTTGGGTAATTTTACATGCATACAAACTAGTTTAATTATCAGTCATCAATCAACTTATCAACTAGTTTAATTAGTATTGGGTTGAAGATGCCCTTAGAAGAACCCGTTTTGTAAGTTTCATTTATTTTTTCAACATCAATAATAATTACAAAGTTAATAAAATATATAAAAAACTAACAAAATAGTTACTTCACACCAAGTTCAAGGTAAAAACCAAGATTTTTGTACAAGAACTTAAAAGAGGTCTCCAACGGTGGTTTTTTTTTTTAATAACCTACACTTTTTTGCTTTATAAGAACCTTACATTGGAGATGCTTTTATAAACAAGATTCTTATAAACAAAAAAGTGAAGTGACTTGTAGGAACTATCATTGTGAAGAATTCTTATAAGAACTTCACACATTTGAGTTATTGTACAAGAACTTTGGTTCTTACTAAGAAGTTTGTGTGAAGTGACAATATCTTAGTTATTTTTTACATTCTTTATTGACTTTATAATTGTTAGTATTATACATATGATTTATTGATGTTGAAAAATACATATGATGCACAAAACGAAGATTCTTATAAGAACTATATTGTGGGCTTTTATGTAAGTTCTTAATTTGATAAGATGGAAATGAGGTGACAACACTACAAAAAAAGTTCTTATAAAAATACCATTACGGAGTTTTATGTAGGTTAAGTATCTATTTTATGGAGTTTTGGCCGCCTTTTGATTCTTACATGATATAACTCAACCCGATCAAACCAACACGAAATAACTCAACTCGAAGCAATCTTATGTCTAATCGAGTTGTAAAATTTTCAAATCGTAGGTATTGGATTATTATTATTTGAACTCAACCCAAACCGCTGAACCTGATATCATTTTATTTATTGGATTTAATATAATTATTGAATTTCTATTAATATACACATTAGTCAATTACACTATCACATACGCTCTTCATATACACATATTTTCAATTTATTTACATCTTGATATAACTCATTCGTATGTATATTCAGTAACTATAAACATATCTATGTAAATTGAGAAAATCAACTGAATGCGATATACGTAAGAAGTATGAGTAAGTTATATCAAATGATTGATGATGAAAAAGAAATTATGAGTAGATAAATAATATATTCAAGTTTAGAAGAATATTTTAATGTACCAGAGTATCAACCCGACCAACCCGCACGTTTTGGTTTGGGTTAAGATTTTTCCAACATGAAACATTGAGTTAGGTTGTTCAAATGTCTTCAAACCCGATCAACCCAACCCATAAGCACCCTACTAGCTACCCAGTAAGACCCCGACAAATTGTATCTTGAGAATCACTAAAATTGAACCCTTATAATCCAAATCATAATACAAATGTGTATGACAGTGCTTATTGCACATATTACCCCAGAAGCAGAGATTGTAGCTGAGCAAACTGTCATGAATTGAGGGGTGCCAGTTCCTGCCATGATTCAATAGTTGCTCACATGTAGAATTCGTAATGGGTAAGGATAGACCCGTTTCCTGTAAATACTGTCTTTATATTGTCGTGTAAAATATCATATATAACATATTTAAAATAATATCACAATGTTTATTGGAACATATTATTAGATATAAAATAAAGATGATATTTATGAACTTATATTTTACTTGTATATTAATGTTTAACAATATTATTATAGCTCAAAATGAACTTTTTACCATTTATCCATTACCCGTTTCGTTACCCGCTATCTTAAGGATAGGGTGTGGATATGGATAAGAGTTCTATGACATGGATAATTATCTGTTTCTTTAACCGCTATTTTAAATGGATTGAATAACATATTAACTCTTACCCTATCCATTCTCACATGCTGCTTCAGCTTCTCAATAGTCAATAGTTAATGGTACACATAAAGGCCATGCTTCCAAGCTTTGCAGACTGGTCCACATAACCTGGCATTGGACTGCTGAGATCCACGGGTAGCTTCATTGCGACAGCTATCACAGAAAGGGAAGCAACATTGAGGGTGAAATATTTACATGGAAACCATAGTTTTCTGTTTTGCAAACCATGTAATAGACCAGCTACCGCTGCAAGGATGCAAAACAGGGATGCTAATGTGATATAGTACCCAATCCGTGGCATAGGATCACAGAACCTCTTTTGCTGACGTAATCGGCTTGCTAACATACTGCAAGCCTCCACAGAATGCATCAAATCTGTTGTAAAATTGCTGCAAGACTAGTTGGTTCAAAACATGGACATATTTAGATAGCAAGCTTGGACCCATGGTTATGTTCCTCTCAGTGAAAAAAAACAATGATTTCAGATAGAATAAAGATGGGTGTAGGAAGATGGTGCAAGTTATGCACAATGGAGGATTTGTCTAAATCAATGACAAAAAGTTGAGATATAATACTTGATGAACAGTGCAGAAACTACCAAATTACCTCTAAACTGGCCGGCACCTGTTGAACTACATGTAAATGCATATATACAGATCTCCAATCAAAGTGACAGAGAACTTATTTTTATTAAATAGTATTCAAGAATATAATTTATAGAAAGGATAACACCAAGGGAAAATGAGATCATATGAATTTACGACACTCCAAGACAACCAAGTTTGGAGAATTTTACACTCTCATTTTTCTCTATTTCGGATAAAAGTTTTGGAGAATTTGTTGGAGCAAAAAACTTGGCCAAAATCCCAAAAATCTCCGTTACTCAATTGTCGAGAATCTGTTGGAGATGCGCTTGGTTTACATCAACCATTTTCTCAAAAGCAAAATTATTAGAACATTTAGGATCTTATCAACAACACATAAAGCCATTGAAACTACCAACAAACACATACATGTCCATCGACTGAAGCATGCAAGAAACTCGTTGACTGATCGATGCATAGACTTTGAAACTTGAGTATAAATTCTCAGCAGAAACTTTGAACGAACATGCAAACCAATGAAAAATGAGATGATACGAATTTGGGACACTTCAAAACAACCAATTTACAAGTCAATGCACATGCCTCAAATCACATAAAAAACAGTTAATTACCATTTTATCATAAAACATTCAAATACATAATGAGCAGTATAGTACAAGAACAAGGTAAGTGATGATTAGAAACAAGAACTTACCTCTTCACTCCAAGAACATAAATGGCTTTTTAAGGAAAATGATGCTTTAAATAAGCACTCCACTTGACAATAAAACCCAACTCATCTGGATTCAAGCTTGGAAGTTCACGATCTTCGAGACTATTGATTATCTGCATAGTCTCACCCAGAAGTTGGGCTGCAGCATGCACACTTGCTTCCCTTTTCTCTATTGCACTTGTGTGGCATTTTATTGCTATGAGTCGAGGTAAGTTGGTGAGGCAAGCAGCCAGTATGTCCGCTATCATTGAGGATAATTTCTCAAATAGTTCCTCTTGGCTAACCTCATTAGTGTTTGCATGGTAGGAAAGCAGAATTGTCTCGGTGATACGATACATTGAATTGGCAGAAATACACCTGCACATGGAATCGTCATTTCTGCCTCCCATATCCTTCTGTTCCACTTCGGTGACCAGGTTTTTAGCTGTATCCCTGAACCATTGAAGAATCTTTTCGGCTGTATTCACTTGAGGTACAGGTTTCTGCAACCTGTTTCCAAACCACCTGTGATAGACTTCAACCTCWAGCCACAATGTTTTAGCCGCCTTTTGAATGCTTTCATAGTCTTCAGTAGCATTGAGGTTTTTTTCCACAAGTTTGACATATACAAGACCCTCACTCACACTGCTTAGCAAGTTCTCAAGCATGTCGTTTTGGATATTAGGTAGAGAAATGGCGATGGTTGTGAGGGTTACCAATGGTAAGCTCCAACAATCCATGAATTCTTGAGCAAGTAAAGGTGGAACAAGATCGCTGTTATACTTTTCAACTCCTTCAAAACCTCTAGATTTTTCTAGAAGCTTCATAAGATGGTTGGGTTGTCGTTTTTCAGCCCTTTGAATGAAGCAATTCACAGATTTTGAAATGCCTTTTAATGTTCTCTCAGCAAGCTCCATGTCGTCTTGGAGTTGCAAAACATACTGGATAAGATCTTTATTGTGTTCTGGCCTTTTTACCAACAGAATATCCGAGGCACTAAACTTGGCCTTTAACCACTTCCAACAATGGGAACAATACAAGACCCAGATCACAATGAAAATCGGGACCAGCCCCATCATCTTGCATGCTACTACAACTGCCTTCTGAAATCCTATACAAAAGCTGAGAGTCAGGGTTTTCAACTTCTGGATGATAACCTTGCATTTGTGGCCACTGAAAGCGACTGGTACGCTACTCTGTTTCCAATCAGATAACTTCTGAGTCCAGTAGCTCTCTACTTTAAAGACCTTGATATGGTTCCAAATCCATTTTATGGACAACTTAAAGCTCAACGATGCAAAACATCTAGAAATTGGGGCAATCGAACCCAGCAAAACTCCAATAGATTGTGTTATGAGAATAACTGAAATTGACCATCTATAATCCGACTGATAGTCCATCATGTCTGGACCTATGGTTAGTATCACAATAGCAAGCATGGCAACGCTTAAAGCACATATCACCCCAGAAGCAGAGGTTGTAGCAGAGCAAGCTGTCATAAATTGAGGACTGCCGGTTGTTGACATGATCCAGTAGTTCCTCACATGCTGCTTTAACCTCTCAATAGTTAATCTTCTTGTTTGTTGAAGCTCTTGGTCCTTTAAAGCTGTTTGATGACGAAATTGATATTTGGATTCTAGTATCTGTTTGGACTTTAGAATCGCTAAGCATGAACATGTGTGTATTATCAGCAACATGATTAACATAACCACATAAACGATGGCTGTCCTCTTACTATAAATGTTTTTACCATCGTCATAAGCAAGACCATCATGAAGAACCCTAGTATACGAAACAAGACCAGTAGTTATTTGAATGTAAACATTCACCACCAAGGTGATTACGAGAACGCCCAAAGCTATGATGTTTGTGAGAAGTTCCTTGCTGTCCATGGTTGATAGAGAAGGCAATAAATTAGCCATTATGGTGCACATAAACGCCATGCTTCCAAGCTTGGCAGCCTGGTCCGCATGACCTGGCATTGGATTGTTGAGATCCATGGGTAGCTTCATTGCAACAGCTATCACAGACAGAGTAGCAGCATTCAGAGTGAAATATTTGCATGGGAACCATAGTTTTCTATTTCGTAAACCATGTAATAAATCAGCCACCATTGGAAGGATGCAAAACAGAGATGCTAACACGATATAGTACCCAATCCAGAGCATTGGTTTGCTGAACCTGTTTTGATCGTCTGACTGGTATGCTAAATCATAATAACTATTCAATGAATCAAACACATCTGTTGTACAGTTGCAGCTGGACCGTAGTTGGTTCACAGATGTATGGAATCTATTCCAGTTTGAACCCATAACTATATGTTCGTCTCACTCACAGTCTCAGGGAAAGAATGATGATATGATTTGAGAAAAATGAAAAGTGGATGTAGTAAGATATGCAGGAGAAAGACCTAAATTAGTATCTGTATTGTAGAAGAAATATGGAAGGATTTAAGGTAATGAACATAAAGGGAAGAGGATGAGCAGGTTCAATGCTATCAATGATTAAAAAATAAAGAAAATCTTGGTCTTAAAGATGAGTTGTAGGATTGACCAAATGAAATTTCCAACCTCTTTCAACTGTCGCTAAAGATGAGTTATTTTGTTTTTCTTGGCTAAAATACATATTCTTTTGAGACTGCAGCATAAATTCTCAGTGACCTTTTATTTATTTACTTTATCATTTCATTAAGCTTCCCCTTTTTACTTTTAAAAAAAACTAACCAAGTTAATGGGCTATGGCCGACCCATGTCGAACCAATAGGTATTGGTATTGAGACTCAACGTTAATGGCTGAAGATATTTCTTCATAGTCATATCGTCTTGAAGTTCCAAGACGTAAAAGCTAAGATATTTCTATGTTTCATGTTGCAAATGACTTCAAAAATAAACACAATCCTGCTCCTAAAGTTGTGTTAAGTGAATAAATGAAATTTTCAGCCACTTTCCATCAAGTCTGATGGAGACTCTGAGTGCGATTAAAACAAGCAAATCCATGAAAATGTAATTTGGTTCTTAAGTTGTCCATTAAATAATGAAGTTGACCATCTGAAAGGATACTTAATCAATGACAAAGACAAGTTCCATTTATAGGATGAGGTCTCTATCACATTTAAGTCAATGACAAAAACTGAGAGAGAATACTTAATGAAACAGGGACAAAACTAACAACTACCTTTGGACCAGCCGACCAGCCGGCACCCATTGGGGGTTATTTTATATCCAAAAAACAACTAAATTGACGAAGAAGAAAACACTAACTACATTCTAGCAAACCACAAAGATGTACAGAGAAAAAAAAATGCATAACATCTCTCACTTGTTAGATGGTATTTTTGGCATGTTCAACTGAATATTAAAAATTAAAAATCATCTCTCTAATATTTAATTTTTCTAGGTATGATAACAAAAGGAAATCTTAGATTTCAAGGGATCTACCTTTAAAATCAATAGTTACACTACAAAAATCTAGTATATTAGGGAAAAATGAAACAAAAACTAAACAATGGAGTTTAGGCCTAATTTAAACTTTAAATTTCACAACATTGAGACAAAGATTCAAACTTAGGGGTGGTTTACCAAAATCTTCCAGGGTGAGCATAGCAAGGGCCAAGATTACATGGTAAGAGGGATAGCAATGACTGAGAATCTTACTAGGGTAAAAGACACTTGCCAACGATCCATTTTCATTGCCAAACATGACATCTGATAAAGTAAGTAAGCGTTCTTAGATTCTTGCAAAAGTCCACTTGAAATGTGATAAATTACTACCAGGACTTGTTGCTCTTTCTCAAAAATATAAAATCCTCAAGACTTGAAATTGTTACTATTTGTTTTTAAAAACTGTGGTTGATTTAGAAAAACTTTCCTCTTTATTTGGTAATAAATATACTTTCGAATTTTGTTTTTTTTGTAATCAAATATATTGGTCTTTTTCATTAAATCTTTATTTTGAGACGTACTTCAAACGGAAGGAACTGAGGTAGAATCAAACCGATTCCCAAAATGTCTTTCTGGATATTTCTCAATTTTCCCGCTGTTCATGCAATTTGAGATGCAGATGATTAGGAAGAAATCGAAGAACGAGAGAAGATGTGAAACATGCTCAATATCAATAACTTTGGTTTTAGAGATCGAGTGGCAGATCTCTAAGAACTCAAAGCATCAAACCTTGAACTAAATATATATGTACGAATATGATTATAGTTTCATCTTCCTTACCCGTATCCGGACCCGGTTTGTGTCCCAACATCAAATTTTGCCTCAATTTAGTCTCTCACGAATGCAATGACTTGAACCGATTTCTATAGCCCTGAGAAAGGTTATGAACCCAAATTTGAGCACCAAGCAAACCATTAGAAAGCCAGGGCAGTGCTGCTAAACAACCCGCTACCATTGCTATGTCCAACTGTGGCCTAGACACACCAATTCGACCGCTCAAACCCCTAACTTAATTTTGCAAAAACAATAAATGAATACTCTTGCATCAAAAATCTATTATCTTATGATTTCATTATTTTATGCAATGAGTTTTTATATATATTACGTCAATAACTAGAGTAAAATAGGGTTGGGATACTGACATGTTTTCGTTAAATCTGTGAATAACATTGAATCTTTACCGACAAGATATTATGAAAGTAAACCTTCACAATGTTTTTATTATGAAGATTCAGTGTTTTTTATACATTTACAGTGATTTGCTGTGAAAATTCAACGGTCAAAACATGTTGGTCTCACGAGAACTCAACCCTAGTTAAACATTTTAAAATTATCATATCTATACTATATTATAAAACATTTGATAAAAACTCTTAAAAATCATTTTTATGCATAAGGTACTGTATATAGATGTATATTACTTAAAATTCAAGATTACAAGTAAATTATGAATAAGTACAACTTTTTATAGCTCGATTTTTGAATTTGTATAACTAACTGCAGATAAACATAATTAAATAGAGGATACACATCTTATTTTAAAATATAAAAAATCTAAAATATAATTAGGATAATTATCGAGTTCTAACAAAATAATTATTTATTATCTTTATAAGAAAATTATGTTATTAAACCAAATATAAATTACTTCGTTATTGTACCTAAATTAAATTATAATTAAAAAATTACACAAAAAAATAAAAAATTTTAAATAGTTAATTTGATACTAATATCGATATATTTTTGTCAAAATTTTATTATATCTTCAAATTTATATTTTATTCAAAACTAAAAACATCATTGTTTTCTCAAAATCATATAAGACCGTATTATAACATCGATTGAGATAAATAATAAAATGAAATATTAAAATCAAGATGTATCTCGCTGTATTGTGCGAGTACCCTTCTAGCATAATATATATAGACGAAGGATTGTGTGAGAATAAAGTTAAGGTCAGAAGCGTAAGAAGACCTTTAATCTCGGACCCCTCACTGAATTATGGTTGATAAGTGAATTGATCCAGTGCATTTCATCCTAATATGCATTCAAGGTTGAAGATCCTTCTTACGCATCTCACCTTAACTCTCTTTTTGATTGTAACTCGATCCTTAATAATGATAGTGTTCATGTATTTGAGTATTTCGTATGGATCTTCCCGCTATTGCGGTTGAACCTTAATTGCAAAAGATGGCTACGAAATGAATTCCGTGAACTAGTTGTTGCTTGTCAAGTATGGGATGAGATCAAATTTGAGTTTGAGATAATGAATACTTTGGATAAATAACCGTCATTCTCTTAATTGAATTTCAAATAAAACTCAGCCTGAGCCGAATCCAAAGGATTGAGAACACTAAGGGGTCGTTTGGTTCATGAAATTTGGTGGAATTGGAATGTCCAAATCTTTGACCAAATTCCAAATACCATGTTTGGTTCACATAATAGATATGAAAGAATCCTTCCAATTCCAACAAATTCCTTAAGTCATGGGATTTCACAATTCCATCGCATATACCACGGATTTCAAATTCCAATCCGACAAATTTCTTAGACCTCATCCAATTTCATTGACGTTGTATCTCGATTTGCTCTACTCTGCTATGCTCGATCTCGTTTAAAACTAAGAATGGCAACGGGTCAGGTTCGGGCCGGTTATTGGTATCCTCGTCCTCGAAACCGATAACTAAAACCGTCCCTGTGACCTCCCCGATCCCCATCGGGTCCCTGCGGTTTCCCCAATCCCTGTTGGGGAACCTGTTAAGGTAAAAATCCTTTTTTTCCCGTTCACCGTTAGTTAGAAGCGAACCCGAAACCGAAACCCTAAACAGATCTAAAAAAAATACAATATGTTAATTTTCACAACTAAAAGTAAATTATAATTTTTTAAAGGTGCAAGTTTAAATGTCTCAGACATAATCGAATCAATTACAAACAATGTATTAGATTATAATATAAAACTAAATATAACTTCAAACATCATATAATTAAAATTACGATTTCATAATTAGACAAATAAACTAGACTTTTTCGTCCTTATTTAGGTAGTTGAAGTAAAGTGGATAATTTTTTTTTAAATTTTAATGTTACTATTTTTTTTAATAATATTATATATATATATATATATATATATATATATACATAAATTAAAATATTTTTTATGTATCATCGTCCCCGCCCTCGCCCCCGTCCCCGTCCCCTTTAAAATCCCCGAATTTGTCCCCGATTCCCGCTCCATCCCCGAACCCGGTCCGAAAGTTTCAATTTTCGGTTTTCACCATCGGTTTCGGTTTTTTTGTCATCCCTATTCAAAACTGTTCGATCGCATTCACCCTGCTCGATCTGGTATGCTCTCTCTCTCTCTCTCTCTCTCTCTCTCTCTCTCTTTCCATCCTAAAAAGGATTTTCTTGAAATGCCATATATGTAATTTTCTCGTTGAATTCCGTGAACGAAACAAAAAAATTTCAATTCGGTTAAGAATTTCATTCCAATTCCATCCAACCAAACGCAATTAAAAGACATGGTCAAATTCCATCAAATTTCATTCAATTCCCTCAAAGTCAAATTCATTCGATGAATTCCAATTCCATCAAATTCCATTCTACGAACCAAACGCCCCCTAACTATTTAAGAAATAACATATGTAAGCTATAAACACTACATGTTTAAACGGTATCGTCTTTTTAGAATTTCTACTTATGTTTATTACTTATAGGTATAAGTTGGTAGCACTGCCATTGAGTGATGAATAAACGGTACGTTGTTTTGCTAAATGCATGCCATTCAATTTGTTTCTTAGGGGCTAATGACATCAACTTAATACAGATAAGTTGTATGATTGAAAGATGGTGCTTGAAGCAACTAGCTAATCATGAATGTGGGTTTCCAATATAATGTAAATAACATTGTATTTTAAGGAAAATGATGCTTTAAATAAGCACTCCACTTGTCAAGAAAACCCAACTCATCTGGATTCAAGCTTGGAAGTTCACGATCTTCGAGACTATTGATTATCTGCATAGTCTCACCCAGAAGTTGGGCTGCAGCATGCACACTTGCTTCCCTTTTCTCTATCGCACTTGTGTGGCATTTTATTGCTATGAGTCGAGGTAAGTTGGTGAGGCAAGCAGCCAGTATGTCCGCTATCATTGAGGATAATTTCTCAAATAGTTCCTCTTGGCTAACCTCATCAGTGTTTGCATGGTAGGAAAGCAGAATTGTCTCGGTGATACGATACATTGAATTGGCAGAAATACACCTGCACATGGAATCGTCATTTCTGCCTCCTATATCCTTCTGTTCCATTTCGGTGACCAGGTTTTTAGCTGTATCCCTGAACCATTGAAGAATCTTTTCGGCTGTATTCACTTGAGGTACAGGTTTCTGCAACCTGTTTCCAAACCACCTGTGATAGACTTCAACCTCTAACCACAATGTTTTAGCCGCCTTTTGAATGCTTTCATAGTCTTCAGTAGCATTGAGGTTTTCTTCCACAAGTTTGACATATACAAGACCCTCACTCACACTGCTTAGCAAGTTCTCAACCATGTCGTTTTGGATATTAGGTAGAGAAATGGCGATGGTTGTGAGGGTTACCAATGGTAGGCTCCAACAATCCAGGAAATCTTGAGCAAGTAAAGGTGGAACAAGATCGCTGTTATACTTTTCAACTCCTTCAAAACCTCTAGATTTTTCTAGAAGCCTCATAAGATGGTTGGGTTGTTGTTTTTCAGCCCTTTGGATGAAGCTGTTCACAGATTTTGAAATGCTTTTCAATGTTCTCTCAGCAAGGTTCATATTGTCTTGGAGTTGCAAAACATACGGGCTAAGAACTTTATTTTGTTCTAGCCTACTCCCCTGCACATTACCTGAGGCACTAAACACGGTCTTTAACCACTTCCAACAATGGAAACAATACAAGACCAATATCACTAAGAAAATTGGGACCAACCCTATGATCTTGCATGCTACCACAACTACCTTCTGAACTCCTATACAAAAGTTGAGAATTAGGATTTTCAACTTCTGGATGACAACCTTGCATTTGCGGCTACAGAATGTGAATGGTACACTACTATGTTTCCAATCACATAACTTCTCGGTCCAATAGCTCTCTACTTTAAAGACCTTGATATGGTTCCAAATCCATTTTATGGACAACTTAAAGCTCAAGGATGCAAAACATCTAGAAACTGGGGAAATTGAACCCAACATAACTCCAGAAAATTGTATTATAAGAATCATTGAAGTCGACCACTTATAATCTGAGTCATAGTCCTTCATGCGTAAACGTATGACAAACATCATAAAAAAGTGTATTGCAGTACTTATTGCACATATTACCCCAGAAGCAGAGGTTGTAGTAGAGCAAGTTGTCATGAATTGGGGGCTGCCAGTTGCTGCCATGATACAGTAGTTGCTCACATGCTGCTTTAGCTTCTCAACGGTTAATCTTCTTAGTTGTTGAAGCTCTTGGTCCTTTACAGCTGTTTGATGACCTGCTTGGTATTTCACTTCAAGTATGTGTTTGGACATTAGAATAGCTAAAGATGAACATGTATGTATCATTAGCAACATGAGTAACATAGCCACATAAATGATTGCAATAATCTTGTAAAGATCTTTAGTGTGAAAACCAGTAGCACCACCAGCAAATTGAAACCATAGAGCAAAACTTTCCGAGCTAACAACACCAGTTGTTATTTGGATGCAAACATTCACCACCAAGGTAATTACGAGAACACCCAAAGCTATGATGTTTGTGAGAAGTTCATTGCTGTCCATGGTTGATAGAGAAGGCAATAAATTAGCCATGATGGTGCACATAAAGGCCATGCTTCCAATCTCTGCAGATTGGTCCACAATACCTGGCATTTGATTGTTGAGATCCATAGGTAACTTCATTGCAACCGCTATGACAGAGAGAGAAGCAGCATTGAGGGTGAAGTATTTACAGGGGAACCAAAATTTTTTGTTTCTCAAACCATGTACTAAATCAACGACCATTGGCAGGATGCAAAACAGAGATGCCAAAGCGATATAGACCCCAATCCACACCATTGGTTTGCCAAACCTGTCTTGCTCATCTGACTGGTATGCTAAATGTTTGTAGTTATGCATGGCCTCGAACAAAACATTAGCTGGTAGTGGTGTACAGTTGCAGTTAGACCAAAGTTGGCTCCAAGCTTGGGAAATCCTATCATATCTTGAACCCATAATAAGGGTAACAAAATGATGATTCGAGACAAATGAAAAGTCGGTATAGAAAGATATGCACAAGGTAGCAGAAATTATGACTTAAAATGAGCAGTTGTATTTCAAATTATACAGAAGACATATGGAAGGATTATAGATAATGAGGAAGATGGTGAATGATCAGAAAATAAAGAAAATGGTGGTCTTAACGAAGAAGAGTTGTAAAATGAAATTTCCAGCCTCTTTCCAAAAGTTGGATCAGGAGACTCTAAGTGTGATCATATTAAACCACCACCTCATTGTCGCTTTCATGCATTAATTATTTGTCCCACCCTCGAAACGTATTCTTTTGTTTCATCACCTCTTAACACTTGTACAAACCGTGGATACGCAAACGATGGTATCTATTTATTTTATTTTATTTTTGTTGGCTAAAATACATAGACTTTTGAGACTCCAACATCACTTCTCAATCATCTTGGATACAAAATCTAAAATACTTATTCTGCTTCTTGTTGCGAATGACTTAAAAATAAACAAAACCCTGCTCTTAAAGTTGTGAAAGTGAACAAATGAAATTTCCTACCACTTCCCACCAAGTCAGATGGAGACTCTGAGTGTGACTAAAACAAGCAAATATGTGATAATGTAATTTGGTTCTTAAGTTGTCCATTAAATAATGAAGAAGTTGACCATATGGTAGAATACTCAATCAATGACAAGGACAAGTTTTGTTTAGGTCTTTATGACATCTAAATCAATGACAAAAATTGAGATAGAATACTTGATGAAACTACCAACTACCTTTGAACCAGCCAGAAACTGTTGAAACTCTTTGTCTCTGTATGGTCGTCTTTTGTTTAAGAAAATAAGATATATGACTACTGCCTGTGTGAATTTGGGAAACATTCAATTGATTTTATGGTTATTCGTTGAATTACATTTTTTTGAAAGTTGAGACTGTCACAGTCCCACACTGGCTTACACTTGGATCATTTCTCCTGTGTAAATGTATATGATGGAACATCTCTTCTCTCCCTAAGGGATCTTTTGGAGATTAATCTGGGGTTCCACATTCTTACAAAGATGATCTTTATCTCTGCTCTCCCAATGTCATCATAAGAGAAATGATGACTTTGGCAGTTCTTCGCTCCTAAAAACAACATTTATGGCAATCTGATATAGTTTAGTCAGCCAATACAGAAAATTCACCAAATTCATTGGAGAGGAACCTTTGCCGACAAAGAATTGGTCAAGAAGAACAAGCAGCCAACATAACATAATTAACAAAACTATGTAGGTGATAAGGAAAAAAAGGGCTAAGGTTCACCTGCTTTTGGTTACAGGCAACTTCTTTTCATGCTTCTTAGAGAATCTTGCAGTTGACATGCTAAATAGCTTATTAATCGCATTGGAAATTCGGTACCCTGACTTGGCCGTTTCATTCGAAATTTCTACTCATAACTTTGCCTCTAAGTCGGTGTTGGACGCCCTCTATTTGAGAAACCGTCGCTGGAGAAGAAGCTAGGGTTCCAACGAGATTTAGATTCAAAATCAACGAATTCGAGGTAAATTCCTAAGCTGAACTTCCGATTAATCCTTCTATACTCTTTATTTGTTATTCTAAAGTTGTTGGGCATGAAAACGGGCCATAATGATGGCTCGAAGCCCACCGATTTGTTGTTGTTAAACGTCGAAACGTCATCGGCCATCAAATGATGAAGAAACTCATGGTACTGAGTTCAGTAGGACGAACTAAATGTAGATTCTTGCGTCTGATGATAGGGCGTTTACCAGGTGCTTACCCGGTACCTGTTCATCGGATAATTTTTTTTCTTACCAGATGAACACGACAACGGTCCAGAAACGATGATACAGAGATTCTTACCTGAGAATTGAGTGTGAACGACTCTTGTTAAAAAGTGTTCGTCGGATAAATTATTTTATAAGATAAGTAATACAATTTTACAAGATAAAAATAAATTATAGTGTACTTCTACCGGTAAGCTGGTAATTCGGGTAAACAACCCGGTAATGATTATGAATAATCATAAAAGAGTCATGAAACATGGCCGGAAAATAGACCGATTTGGCCCCAACGTCGCTGATGAATGGTGCTGGTCGGAAGGCATGGCTACCGTTGGTTAGGTCTGATCGTGGACTGGTGGCATTGGGCTGCCCGCCCTATCCATTCTGTGTTGGGCTCCTTATATAATTGTCTCTGGGGCCGATCTTTTTGTTTACGGACTAATAATTTAATTTGTAGTGGATTTCTATCATATAATCTGTTCAGCTTAGCTTGATTTCATTTGATAGAATATTTTTATATGATATGGACTTTATAAAACGATTTGGATTTTTTTTTTTTTTTTGATGTGTTTAGTTTGTAACACTTTGAAATGAAATTAAATTTGATTTTTTATATAAAAAACAAATTATAAAAATAATTAAATTGTCTTTCTATTAATTGATTGTTACAAAACAACTGTTTTTAAAATATTATTATACACAAATTCCATATTTGTATAATTTTAAATCCAGACTGAACATAGGGATATTTGAATACATAGTAAAAGGTATGAGAACATCCATGATGAGAAGGGTTATCAAGTGTTTGATAAATAATGCATAATCAAGGAAACATCACAAGTGTGGGTATGATAAGACGATGTGATGTGTTACATACTCATTTCAGTATTTGATAATGCTTAAACTACAACATTTATAAAGCAATAATGATATCATGAATTTTTTGGTCAATTATTGCATGTGTCTCACCATTACTGGATGAACTAGACTTCAGGTAATTAGGCTTCATCGTTGCACGAATTTTGTCCCCTTCCATTCACATATAAAACAAGATTACCCCACTCATAAGAAGATTTGTTTGGTTGGAAGCAGATTTATGAATTGTATTTGAGAAAGGAATTAGTTTGGTGCATTTCAATATATCACATTAGTGTTGACATTTAATTAGGATTGATCAAAGTGTGGAGATCTCTTATTACGTTTCTCACCGGAATTCAACCCTTGGGTTGTTGGGGATTTGATGGAGAGCAAATGAATGATTAACAAGTCATTGATATAAATAGCTGGGAATTCAATCAAGAGATACAATATTCGAGTTAAGGTTTTAAGATCTAATCAGGGAGCAAATACACCCGCACATACATAAACCTCTCAAAAGAAAATACACATCAATACACAATGGGGTTTAAATCCATTCATTTCGTTTTGTTTCGTATTGAAGTTGCTTGTTTAATTTTTGTATTGATTGATTAACAACCACGTTTATAATATGTCATTCTTTATCCATTTGGGAAAATGGCAATATCCTTTCTACTTGGTTCTTATCCAAAAATTAAAGTGATATGTTTTTATTCTTCTACGTATTAGTCATTAGTAATTATCTTTTTCAATTAAAATACTTATAGTCTAGGGGAATATATACAATTAAAATAATACAAATTTTGTATTATCGTTCAATTGTTCTGATATTGTGAAATAAAGTTACAACTTTAATATGATTAGATATATGACAAGAAGGTCAAAAGAAACGATATAAAAACACAAAACAATGACGTTCTTAAGAGTAAAGAAAAAGTCATTGCTTTGATCTATTAATAAATTTTACATTAGGTTTTATTAAAATAAACTCTTTAGTCCCAATATTAAGAGCTCCTGGATTAACATCTTATGTCACAATCCATTAGTTGACTCATACTAATTATTTTATGTTAGACATAAATTTTTATGCCTCACTTAATATTAAAATGCATTTATTTATAATGGATTTAAATATCAAAAGTAAATTACACTTTTGGTTACTATGGTTATAATTCATTATCAATTTTTGTTTTTCAATTTTAAACTAACTATAGTTTTGGTCACTATGATAAATGATGGTTGTAGGTCGGGAAAGATTGAGGCTTATGTCGTCGGAGCATTCAACAGGACGGGAGGTTAATTTGTGGATGCATCACATGGATGATTCACGATGAAATAAAAAACAAATACTGTAGAGCAACAATGGTTGCAGATTAAAGAAGATAGATTTTTTTTTATTTATAGAAAAAGACGTTTTTTGATACTGGAGCTTTCAACGGAAAGGGATAATGGGTGTCGGAAATGGAGGTAGGGAAGCTGGTGGTTTATATATGTATTAACATTTTAATAATATTAATTTGTTTATTTTTTAATTGAAAATTAAGAAATCTTAAAAGAACGGTAGTTAGTCTTAAGGATAAAAAAAATGAAATAAAATTATTAAAATTCATAATCAGTTAATTAAAATAGAATTTACTGAAATATCAATTAATAAATGAGAAAGTCAAAACATCCTTTAAATTATGTGAAAAGACATTAATGAGAATGAGATGTGGGATGGATGTGGATCTGATCGGGAAGACAACGTGTGGATTGGTTTGCTTCAATGCTGGGAATATACATTACACAAATACCGCTTATTTTATTGTAATTTAATTTGTTACATCGAGCCATGTGATACATTATAATACGTCTAAATGATTAAATTCGATTCTTTTTTCCATTTTATTTTGTAATAAAATACCTTTAAATCATTAAATTTTGATTCTTTTTTTTCCGAAAACCATGAATCTAGTCATTTCTATCCTTTTTATTTAAAGGCGGTGCTAAAAAAAAGTTTATCTATTTCATTTTATTCCACATTTAAAAGTCTTTAATAAAACATTAATTAATTCGTTGTTTAATTAATACACTCTAAAATGTTTTAGACACTTATTAAAATGTCTTATAAAAATTTGTAATATAATTGATATTAAAATAATGGTTGTAACTTTTTAAATATTACAAAAACATATTAGCTATTAGTATTTTATAACTTTTAGAGTAGATGCTAATTAATTTTGTATATTTAATTATATGTTTCATAAATGACATGTTTT